TGCTTAACTTGTACTTACAAGAATAGGTTATGGGAGGATCTAGGAAGGTGCCGATTGAAGATTTTTAAATTTATCAGAATATCAAACAGCTGTACATACTTCATAATAGTTCGTATTATGTATCATGTATTGCAGGATGATGGCTATATCACCATTGAGATTGTTACGAACGGAGACATCCATAACTGAGGAACCAGTTTCCGGGTGGAGACGGAAGGGACAAAACAGATAATTACTCAGCAGAGGGACCGACTCCATTGTACATCACAGGACTTTAGACCCAGCCACTGATTAAGCTAATTGTAATCCGTTTCCAATAGTTGTCGGTAACATAGGTGCAAACTTCTGAAGAAGGCTAGTATGACGATCTCCCCAATAAAAATAAAGAGGAGCGAGAATATCGTTTCATCCTTCCTAAAGTTTCGAAGAACAATAAAAAAAAATATCTGGTGCGCGCAACACACAACTTTAACTTACCGCTCAACTTTGAATAGAAATTATTTTCTGGCCATATTGAGCTATTATAAAAATTTGTAATTGCATTTTTAACTGAACTAAAGCTAAAAGATTACAGCTAAACAATCATAAATACTACTAAAATAACAAAAGTCATATTTATTATATCACCGGTTGATTATGGATTGAACGATTCGTTGAATATGGATTATTCGATTGGATTATTTGATTACGGATTGGTGTAAATGTCGGCAATTGGGAAAAATGAAAAGTCATACCTTGGTACAACAGTTATAATCTCACACACACATAAAAAAAAAAATCAATTTAGAACGAGATGAGGGAGGCACCTGGTAATATTTCGCCTCAGGCGCCTGAATATAGAAATAGAAATAGAAAATAACTTTATTCTGGGACAAATTCCCTTTAGAATAACAAAACTGTACAGTATTAAAATACTATATCTGCCCTAAATAAATAATAATAATAATAATAATAAGGCTTAGCGAACCCGAAGGTTCGATGCCGACACCACCAATCGCTTGTTACACACCTCCCTCCACCGTTCGCCGTCCAAATCCAGTCCCTTCAGATCGGCTTTAATGCAATCTTCCCACCTTCGCTTCGGTCTACCCCTCGGACGCTTACCATTCGGCACAGCAAATATTAACCTTTTAGAAATTCTCTCGTTACTAAGCCCAACAACTTTACAAGCCCATTTGATTCGCCTCGATGAAATTACCTCAATTATATTATCCGGATACAGCTCATGCAATTCGGCGTTGTGTAACCGTCTGAACTCTCCGGTTAACTCATCCTTCTTCGGTCCGAATATTCTACGCAATACTTTATTTTCAAAAACCTTAAGACGCTGCTCATCCCTTAATGTAAGCGGCCAAGTTTCGCATCCATAAAGAACTGTAGGCAAGATAATTGTTTTATAGATTCTAATTTTTAAGTTTCGGGACAAGAGGCGCGAACTAAGTAGTTTTGTCACAGAAAAATAACAAGCATTCCCCGCCTTCAGTCTAACCTTAATCTCTTCTTCAATTTCGTTTTTTCTAGTTATCGTAGAACCTAAATACCTAAATTTATCTACCTGTTCAAACATATTACCATCTATATCGATATCACCAGTAGTATCGCCATTTTTGCAGCTAACCATATATTTTGTTTTATCCACGTTTATTTCGAGTCCTAGTTCTTTACCGGCTTTCATTAACGTTGTCGTATTTAGTTTTATAGTTTCAACGTCTTCGCTTAACAGTACCAGATCATCAGCATAGCCCAGCACGGATGTTGTCCCGCCCAGATCCAACCCTTTCTCGGTTCGCATTACCTCCCTAATGGCATGTTCTAATGCCAAATTGAACAGGACAGGCGAAAGAGAATCCCCCTGTTTTAAGCCCGAACGAACCTCAAATTTTTCGGACAAATTATTACCGATTCTAACTTTATTGAGTGTCTCCGTCAAGCACATCCTGACTAGATTTACTAGTTTTTTTGGAATCCCCTGCTCGATTAGAATATTATACAGTTTCTGGCGGTCAATAGAATCGTAAGCCTTTTTAAAATCTATATACAGCTGGTGAACAATACCGTTATACTCCAATTTTTTCTCTAATATTTGCCGTAAAGAAAATATTTGATCAATTGTCGAACGATAGCGTCTAAATCCGCATTGGTAGTCTCCGATAATTTCCTCGGCGTATTCCGTGATTCGACTGGTTAAGATTGAAGTGAATATTTTATAACATACCGGAAGGAGTGAAATTCCTCGATAGTTATTACAATCCGTCTACATATTTACGTGATCTGTTTATACCTTTGTACATGTCTCTTACGTTATTTTCGATTCTATTAGTTTCTATTTCAATTATTTTATTTTTAAGATACTCCCTTTTTTTATTTTTGAGCAATTTTGTCGTTTCGTTCTTTGAGATTCGGAAGTATTCCAGATTGTCTTCGCTAGGATTATTTAGAGCTTTTAATTTAGCGGCTTTTCTTTTTTCACACATGTTTAAGCAATCTTCATCAAACCACGGTTTGTTATTCTTATTTTCCTTTTTTCCTAGACACGAGTTACCGACCGCTTTAATATTATCCCTGATCTCTATCCATAACTTGTCAATATCCTCGTGGTCCTCGTCAGGAAGCTCTAAAGCTTCAAACCTATTCTTAACATCTAGCTCGAATTGGTTTCTAATTGATGAATTTTTTAATTTTTCCAAATTAAAATTCTCAAAATCGAAACGGTTTTCTTTTCTCTTTTTTATATTAAGTTTTTGTCGAAGTTTCGTGATTACTAATTCATGATCCGACCCACATTCTGCTCCGCGATAAGACCGTACATTGATTATACTGCTTTGCCAGCTGTGTTGTATCAAGACATGATCGATTTGATTTCGTGTTTGCGAATCCGGTGATGTCCAAGTATATTTATGAATATCCTTATGTTTAAACGTCGTACTTTTAATTATCAGGTTTTTCGAGATGGCAAAGTTTATCAGACGGATCCCATTATCATTACTATATTCGTGCAAACTTTCTTTACCAATCGTCGGAATATAAACTTCTTCCCTTCCTACCTTTGCGTTCGCGTCACCTACAATTATTTTCATGTAGTTTCGGGTAGTTTATCATAAACCCATTCGAGTTTATCGTAAAATTCACTTTTGACTTCATCGTCACTGTCTTCGGTCGGACAATGTATGTTTATTAATGCGATTTTAAACCAACGTCCCTGAAATGTAGCTACCGAAATTCTATCACTAAAGAATTGTACGTCCCTCAAAGCGGATAGTAATCTACTCCTAATTAGAAACCCGGTACCTAAACAATGATTCCCGCTTCCTCCGTACCAAATAGTGTACTTTCCTTCCCTCATCGAGCCCTCCCCTGGCCAGCGAACCTCTTGCAGAGCCACGACTTCCAAATTGTACCCATTCACCTCATTCGCGACCGATTTTAGCCCTCCTGCTGTGTTTAAACTCCTTACGTTCCACGTACCAATATTTAAATCCCTATATTTCAACTTGCGGCATGAATCCCCTAAAGCAGTCCCCACCCGGAGACCCGAACGGGGGACTAGTTTACCTCCGGATAATGAGCGTTTTACCTTAGGGAGATCCATGACTTTTTGTGGTGTTTGGTGAACTAAAGATATGTGAGTAGGGCGTTCAATCCTACGTCACACCCTCCAGCAAGTCTGGTGGGCCCCTACCTCCAGCAAGTCTGGAGGTCCCCTCCCTCCAGCAAGTCTGGAGGGCCCCTCTCATTGTTGGTCAGCGAGTCCATCGGACTTAGCCGGGAGGAACTTCCAAGAAATTTCCACCGACCATCCCCACATCCGCCACCCGTGGGACGCTCCCCATACGCGGTAATGAGCCCGCGCGAGGGCCCTAAATAAAACAATAACAAAAAAAGAAAAAGTAATGAAAACATTAGTTAAACAAGCCACGGGCGGATCTACGGAGGGGGGGGGGAGCTTTCGGACTGTAGTCCCCCCCCAAAATGGTAAAATATAACCATGTTTTATCGAAAAAAATATTAAAAAATTATCTCTTAAAGTATAATTATTCGTGTAATTACATTTAAAAGGGCTTTAGGAATCACTTAAACACCAGTTCATATAGGTAGTTAGTTGCTTTCTTATTTACCAAAGTAATTATTGTTATTTTTATGAAAAAATAAGCTTTCGGGGTGAAGCCCCCCCCCCCCAAAATTAAATCCTGAATCCGCTAGTGAAACAAGCTATATACAAAAAAAAAAAAAATCTAACTATGATATGACACTTATATCTATGTACAGTAGGAAAAATTATAATTTTACACTTTTGTGAAATAAAATAATAAAAAATTCAGTTCTTCTTTAAAATAAGCTGTGTTTCTGCTAACAAAGAAAAGACTAATCTGATAATATAAAATGTCAGAGTATTTTTATAATGAATAATATCTAAACACATCATTATCTTATTGTAACAATAGGTACAGATTTACTTGTATAAGAATAAAAATAATATTAATTTATTTTCAGTTTCGTTTGGGAATGGAAAATGTACGACTAAACCAAATTCCTATATTCAAAAACTTCAACTTTTTTTTTTTTGTTTTTTAAATATACATTTTTTTTTTCAAATGAAAAAAATATTTTGGGGTTTGTTTTTTTAAAACTTCTTAGGGCATTCGAGTAGGTAAAGTAATCATAAAATGTTATTGGAATCAAAAAATCCAAAATAAGGTGATAGTGACTGCACTAGCGGATCCAGGATTTAATTTGTGGGGGGGGAGCTCCAGCCCGGAAGCTTTTTATTTCATATATATATATAACGATAATTATTTTGGTAAAACATAGAGATACTAACTACCTATATGAAATTGTGTTTAAGTGATTCTTGAAGTCCTATCAAATGTAATTAAACGAGCAATAATACTTTAAGAGATAATATTTTAATATTTTTTACCATAAAGCATGGTTACATTTAACAATTTTGGGGAGAGGGGGGGCTTAAGCCCCAAAACCCCCCTTACATCCGCCTTTGAGTGACCGGACTATAAGGCTTACAAAAATATAAAATGATATATGTATCTCTTTAGTTCTTATAAGAGATCAAGTTTAAGTCGACGTTCTAACGCGAACTATTGATCATGACTACATTTAAAAATATAACTTTCTATTTTAAAAAAAATATAGAATAAATATGTCTCTGCTGATAATAGATTGCTTTTCCTACGAAATTTCTTAACCTAAAACAGTGAGTTGCTCAACCCATTGGTAGTTGACAGTTGAATTAACAGTACCCTCACGCACTCTGGCGGTGGTATATATGTGCCAGCGGGCCATCCACTCTTCAGTCTTCTACTGTCTTCGACTAGAGCATCATCATCAACATGAACTCCTACACTCTGGTTAGCATACATTTATAATTTATATTATTATTTTTATTAAATGTTTGATTTAATTCAATTTGTTAACATTGATATATATGTTTGATATATAATCCATAATCTATCATATCACTGATGCCTCCTTGTACTCCTCTAGATCCTGGCCGCCGCCGCTTGCATCGCCTCCGCCTCCGCTAAGCCCAGCGGCTTCCTGCCCGCCCCACTGGTCGCCGCTCCAGTCGCCGCCCCCTTGGCTTACCCCGCCCCCGTCGTGGCCAGCCGCACCGCCCAGGTCGTCCAGACCAACTTCAACACCCTGGCCGCTCCTTACTACGCCGCCCCAGCAGTAGCTGCTCCAGTCCTGGCAGCCAGGTACGCCTACGCAGCTCCAGCAGTCGCCGCTCCAGTGGCCGCAAGGTACGCCTTCCCCGCTCCAGCAGTAGCTGCTCCAGTAGTGGCCGCCCCCGCCAGGCTTGCTGCCCCGGCAGTCGCTGCTCCAGTGCCCGCTGCCTTCGCCGCACCGGCAGTCGCCCCCGCTCTACCCGCTCCCTTCCCATACTATATATAAACTCCATTAAGTAATGCCCTTTTTGCAGGCATTAAAATTATAAAATAATAAAAAAAAGTATATAAAATGAACAATTCTTCTCATTTGATACCCTAGAACCTTGATTATTAACGTCCTTCAACTCATGTCAATCTCAACTGATGATATCCAACTATCGATATTTTTCTTCCGATATTTGATAGTTTCAAGTTCGATGACATCCACTTCGATTATCGACTATCGATATCATCACTACGGTATTTTAATTTTTATATAATGTGGTGCACACAACACATAACCAGTGTTGCCGTTTGTACGAGGATCCTCGTATTTGTACGAGGTTATGACGTAATGTACGAGGTACGAGGATAGATCAGCCTCGTACCTCGTACATAAGTTTTGCTGACGTATGCAATGCAAGGTTATATTTTTATGAATGAAGTTTAGAATTGTTTTACGGTTATTTTGAATGTATTATTATATATATTGATATGAAATACTGAACTTCTGTTGCTTTCTAGACAAATAAATTGCAATTATACTTTCTGTAATTAGAGTATGATTATTATTTTCTTCATAAAACCATGATTGTATATATATGTTTTTTTTTTAATTTTCTAGAAAATAAAATAAATAAATTTTTTTTAGATTTTATTCAGTATAAAATAAAATATAAGAAACCATATCCATTATTTCCTTCATAAAACTTTTTTTATAAATATATATTTTTTAAAATGTGTTGCAATAGAAAATTAAACAGAAATTTTTACCGTCATTTTTATAGAGCATAAAATAAAATACGAGAAATTATATCCATTATTTCCTTCGTAATTATTATTTCCTTCGTAAAACTCCAATTGTAAATATATTCTAGATAAATTAAATTTTTTTAAAAATTATTAGCGTAATATAAAAAAAATTATTTTCGATTTTGAATCGAGTAAAGCAATTAATTGAAAAATTAACTAGTATTTCTAGTATTCGTAATGAACCCATCTTAAATAATGAAAAAAAAAGTATTTTTTCATTGGTCTACATTTATTTTGTGCGAGACCTAATTGTAAGCTAAATACTGAAACAATCACAATCTATTATTTTTTTATATTATAATGGATATCTCTAAAAGCATCAATGCCCCAATAATTAATTTTTATTGGCCTTCCAGAACCACTAACATCCTTTCATAAAAGTAGTTGTTTTGTTTTTAGAAAAAAGAAAAACAATTAGTCTTTCCCCAAATTAAATCTTGGATCTACTAATGAATACTTATGAAGAGTACTTTAAGAAGTTTATTTAGCTATTTTAATTTTTATATAACGTTTTCAGTAGTTTTATATATAAACTTTTTTATATATTTTATTAAGCTAATTTTACTTCTTGAACCATTAACTAAAAAAAAAAGTAATGTAAAAAGGCTTTAAAATATATGAATGGAGGCAAAAATAAAAATTCTGATCTAATTTTACTGTAAAAAAAAACAATAACAATGGCATTATAACAATGGAAGTTATGAATGAGCAAGCGTACGAGGATGTACGAGGCTTGAGTACGAGGTTTTGTCACAGAGCGCGCGGTAACACTGCACTGCACATAACTTTCACTTACCGCTCTACTTTGAATAGAAATTATTTTCTTGCAATGTTAGGCTATCATAAAATTTTTGAAGTGCATTTTTAACGTAGCTACAGCTTTAGCTTACAGCTAACGCCCAACAACCTTAACAATAATCAACAACCTTAAAAATGATCAAGGTTTATTAATCAACAAAGATAACGTCCAAGACTTGATAAAGTTCATGAATGACATCAAAGCAGTCATATAATAAAAGTCGGCACTTATTCTCAGTTAATTGTAATTCTAATTCATATCAGTTTTTAACCATTAGTCTTTCTAGTTTCTATAATACCTAATATCTAATAATATAATATCTAATATCCAAGTTCCATATAAGTCACTTTCAGTTATCATCTAACTATAAACAATTAATATAAATCCAGTGTAATTTCCGTCTAAATACCGTAATTTCATCTCACTATGACAAATAAAATATTTTTCTGGCAAAATGGGACTTGCTTTTACAAGTCTTAAAGCCAAAAAACAAAAAATAAAAAACAAAACAAAAAAAGTCATTAAGACCACTAAAATAACAAACAACCTGTTCGAGCATCTACCACTCTTCAAAATCATCTGAACGATATTGCAGATTTGGCCACAAGGTGGAAAATTAAGATGAATGAAAAAAAATTGTGCATGTAGTATTCACTCTAAACCATAAACCTTTCCCTGAAATATATTTTAATAATATTAAAATCCCAACATCAAATGTAATTAGGTATTCAGGATTTTATCTGGACAAAAGACTAACTTGGAGGACACACATCAGACAAAATAGAATAGAATTGAACAGACGATACGATCTTTTATCCAGATTACTTGACAGAAGTTCAAAATTATCTTTAACTAACAAAAAGACCCTTTATAAAATTTTACTTAAACCTATTTGGACTTACGGCATAGAACTGTGGGGCCCTGCTAAAACTTCCAACATTAAAAAAGTTCAGTCCTTTCAGTCAAAAGTGTTGCGAAGGATAGTTGACGCACCTTTTTATGTCGCGAATGATACACTACATAAAGACTTAAACGTACCTATAATTTTAGATACTGCAAAAGAGAACTACAATAACTTTCACCAAAGACTGACGTACAACATGAATTCCCTGACAGAAAGCCTTCATTCCCACAAGAAATCAAGAAACAAGAAACCAGTACAGCCCACCACGACTATTACGTAGGCGTTGGCCGAGAGACCTGCTGATCTGATTTATATCCCGGACGTGATGGGAAGCTGTGAAACTGCCAAAAAATTTGCTCATTGCAAACAAATTTGCAAATTGCAAATTTAATCTAATTTTTGGTTAAGAAATAAAATTTATTAAATCAACGGTAGACAATGAAAACCTCATTACTCCATCTGTTTTGTAAAACACATAACAGGAGCTATATATCTATGGCTAGAGAGATTTGATAGTATATCTCTATATTCAACCTATAAATGATTATGGATTGTATGATTATGTTTCATTGTGAAATTTACTAAAATGAAATTAAGAGATGTTCATTGCCTGCCATAGATAGGTCCAAATTAGTCACACTAATTTTAAATGATAATCAAGGGATTTCACAAGGGAAAATTCATCAAATTATTCACTAATTTAATTTTCTAAAGGTTATATGAACATTTTTTGCTATATAAAAAATAAAAATGATATATATATATATATATATATATATATATATAAAAGGACGTTGCTACCTTATAATATTATAATATCTGATCTAGAATTATTATAATTAGAACCACAGTAAATTTATTCAAAGTTACCTGGATAAGTATTTTTCTCCTTTATTTAATTATCAAATTCTTCTAAAAGTTATATTTAAATTTTTTCCCAAACTCCTAACAAATGATAAATAGTTATTATTTATAGTCAACCAAATTAAAGGTTTAGAGGAATTCAGAGGAAGACATGATAAAGTTGGGATTTCACAAAGGGAAGTTAATCACTAATTTAATTTTTTAAAAAGCTACATGACAATTTTTCGGAATAAACGTTTGATACTAATATTTACAATCGTGTAAGTAATTGGAAGATAAAATAGGACTCCAAGAGATCTCAGCTCTTATCTACCAGACATCGTAAATAGTTTCATCTCATTGTAACCTACAACTATTTTATTAACGAAAACTATTAAAATTGGGGCGTTTTCAATTTGGAGGGGGCAAACTTTGTCTTTTTAATTATGTACTGAAACCTCGTAAGTACCCATTTGCTTTCTACTTTGATCATAAGATAATTTGATCACAAAAGTGGCCTGCAAAAATATTAGTCCGTTTGTCCAATATAAGCTTGTTATTTTGAAAATTTGGGGGTGTAGGTCACGCCAAACGACTCATTATTTTTGAAGGCCAACCTTTTTCTCGATTTTGTGATCAAATTACCTTACGATCCAAGTAGAAAGCAAATGAGTATTTACAAGTTTTTAGTACCTAATTAAATAAACAAAGTTTGCCGACCTCTAGATTGAAAACGCTCCGATTCTAAGAGTTTTCATAAATAAAATAGTTGTAGATTACGATGAGATGAAACTATTTACGAAGTTTAAGGTGGATGTTAATAATTCGATAAAAAGGGGCCTATACCACGGACTATAGAGCAACATGTCTGGAGGAGTTCAATAGGACATTGACAAAGATTTAGGGGCCACTGCCGGTCAAATTCTTCGGTTTAAAAATACTTTATGACGTCTCTATCTGCTAATACATCATCACGAGTCTGCAAAAGAGCTAAAAGAAGAGAAAAGGAAGAAAATAAATCAGTGAAAGGTGCTATTTATTTTCATCTTCTGTAAATAACAAAATGCAAATAATTTATGCTACTTTGAACAAAAATAAAATAAAATAATTACTTCAAACTAAGACTTTCAACAATGTAGATTTTTCTTTTTATTTGTACATTACACTTCGACGAGACACGAGCCCACCAGTTTATATCAGCGACGACCAAATTGATAAAAATAGATCCTTTAAGCAAACCTCTGAAAATACAATACTCACTTTTTTCCAAATCAAAATTGAAAATCTAGACAAACGCTCTAAACTTCCAATTAATTACAAAAGACTCATCTATATGGCTATAATAAGGCCTATTTGGACTTACGGAGTTGAGCTATGGGGCTCCACTAAATCATCGAATTCCTCTCGTATCTAATCCTTACAATCCAAAATCCTTCGTAAAATCCTCAATGCTCCAAACTTTGTTACAAATAAAACAATAAACTAAATGTTCGAACGTCTTGGTGAGAATAAAAAACACAAGCCAAGTTGGAGGTTCTTCTTCCAACCTGTTACCTTCCTATGTCCAGCTGTCGAGCAATCGATGGTGGGGTGGTATCGATATGTATTGATTACTCAGCTGCGTCCAACAGCTGATTTTCGAAAATGGCGCTAGGTGAGATGTGATGAGTCTGGACTGGTGGGGGTAGATGTCTTCACATAGACCTTATGTCAACAACGGTTACTTCCAGACTGAGGACCCAACAGTATTATCGCAGTATTTTGGTGTGTTAATCACTAAGACAGGGTATTACTGCCGGGCTGAAGCGTATACACAAACGCGATAATACATCGCAGAATAAGCCTAAATATATAATAATATAATTTTAAATACACTTTCGGGACAATAGCCCTCGGCCTATTACAAAAAAAAAAAATGTATTCCAATATTCACATTAAAAAAGGAATAATGGTGAGAAAAAATAATAATTAAAAAAATAAAGAAATGAGCGTATGCGGCGTTAACACCAACAACAATACTCACTTTTTTTCAAAATCAAAATTGAAAATCAGATAAAAACTAAATACCTACATGTATCTACTCAAACCCTTAGGAACATGCGGTTTTATGGGAAATAGTAATGAGGATAGGATACCAACATCAAAGCTAGTTGTAGTTTTGGGAAAAAAAAGTTATATGTAGCGAAAGAAAAAAAAAACGGGAGGAGAAAGAAACAAACCAACAATTTGACCGCTTAATGGTGCATTATTTTTATAAAATCGTTTCAAAACTGACAAAGAAATATCCGGCGATCTTACAGATAGCAATCTGGCTAATAAAATAACGGTTATTAAAATTTTTATTGGATGATATAATTTCTATGACTGTGGCTGTACTAATCGATCTGAAATTGAAAAAATTAAAAGTCTTTGACACGGTTTGAAAAATCAGTAATTCAGCATTCTAAACTGTAGAAAATCTTGCTAGGACATTTTTCAGTAAATATCATACACCGTCACTATAAACAATGCATAGGTACAGTATATTGGAGTCAACATAAGAGAACACTATATGAGGCCTTATCTGGATACCTTTGTTCTAAAACCCAATATAAAGAACATAATAGAAAAAAAAAACATTCTGGGATTATTTTCCTGAAAAATAACAAATATAACGGGCCAAAAACCGCATTATAAGAATCAAACAGTGAATTCCATTGGATGGTTGGTTTTATTCTTGAGCAGGAGTCTCCAAACAAATCCAAAGTAAGAAAATATATCATTTCATCTCAAATTTATGTTGTGAGTGAAAAATGAGGTATTTTCCGACATTTTGGACACTTTTCATCACTGAAAACTTCAAAGAAAAATGAAAAAAGAAATTATTTAAATTTCAAGCTATTACAAGATGAAAACAATCCGAGAGCTCGTGTTAGACTTCAAGAATTTTTTTTGGCCACTAATGCACTATTTATGGACCTCGATTTCAAAGAAAAAAATTAATGAAACTGAAAAAAGGAGTCTGCGTTTAAAAAGATGTGTCAAACATGTTTTGGCAACAAAAGATATTTTTACAATTTACAAAGACATTATTAAAAAATTTTCTTTTTATCATATAGGTCCTATCCTTTACACAGTTCATACAGCTGACATCACAAACCAATCAAACACCGTCATCACCATCTATGCCGATGACACGTGTATCCTATTAGTAAACAACGATCCATCTATTGTATCATGGAGGAATAAAATAAAATCAAATAAATTTCATCAAATTACCTTTACTCTTAGTCGTAAACCTATGACTTCCTGTCCTACAGTATCCTTCAACAATAGCAATCCTAGTTGAACAAATCCGAAACCTAGGACTCTACCTGGACAAACGACTCACTTGGAACTCCCATACCAGACTGAAACGACTAGAAACCGCCCGGCATTTTCGACTACTGCAGCACTCACAAGACAAATGTTCTAAACTTACAACTATGCCAATAGAAACACTTACAAGCTCGTTGAACTTCAATAGAAATAAACATAATCAAAAATAAGTTTTTTTTTTACAAACTCAGGATAACAATTGATTTAAATTTATTGAATATTACACGAGATCTAATTAACGGCAGTAAGTATCATGCTAGTAACGTTTGGGATCAACGAAACAATACTGTATAAATTAACTCTTTGAATAAAACATAAATTTTTATAACGCCATAAAAATATTTTCATAAGCTAACTCCCACTCCATATGATCAGTGCCTTTCACATTTTACTACCATTATATTGTTAACAATTGTTTATATTAATTTTAATCATTAAATGGAATTGAATGAAATTCATATTAGGAAATTTCTATACTATTCTCCAAATTTCCTCAAAGTTTTGGTCAAATTGGGGGTATGTACACTATTGTGTACACTATTTGAGTTTATTTATGACTACCATCACAGATCATCTCCTCCTTCAGAAATTGAGTACATACAATTACTAACTAAAACCTATTATTTGGATTTAAGCATCACAGATATTTGGAGCAGCTAAAAAGATTCACATAAAAAAAGTTCAAATATTTAAAAAAAAACATTCAGTGCAGTAACAAAAACACCATGGTGCGTTAGCAACATGTAGTCATTATTATCAAACGTAATTAAGAAAGGGGTTTGTAGTTTAATTTTTGAATTATAATGAATATATTATGGCTAGCTTCATAACAGCTTTCATTCATTACTTAATGCTCCCCAAATTCGGAGCGTCAATTATCTAAGAGATTGCTAACAGTCCGTCCCATTGCGAGTTCTCTCACGTTCTTCAGCGAGGTATATATGTCTGAGTGGCCGCTCAGTTGTTCAGTCTCCTAGCAACGACTAGAACATCATCATCATCAACATGAACTGCTACGCACTGGTCAGCATCTCAGTTGTTTATTAGCAGTTTAAGTGTGTTATCTCAAGTGCCGCGTAAAAAAGACAATTCTAAAATATTTAAAATTCAGTTCTAATAAATACATTGATGATTATTTCGTGGAATTATTTGAATTATAAGTATTGTTTTTTATTTCATAATAGTATTTTTTGTTCAATAATTTATTGGATTGCGATACGTTATTTAATTCAGATTGGTTAGATTTGGTTGAATTCTGAATGAATGATTGATGAATCCTATTCATCAAATTTGTATGTTACAGCGAAGGCATATTCTATGTAATTTAAATAATGGTTTTTGAAATAGTGTTTTAAAAAAAAAAATCGTCCCGAAAACAATTTTAAAATTTATTTAATATTTTCCAAATTTTTGTTTTTATTCAAATCATTCTTATAATAACAATCCAACTTGGTCAATAATAATTGTAATTGTTGTTGACGTGAAAGGTTCTTTAGGCGCGTTTTACACTTTTTTGTGGAGAGTGAAATAGATTGAGCCGTCAGATTTCCAAAGTGTAACGCTCAGATACAATCGATTAATTCAAGTGTTTCAGCACATTATTTAAAATAATCCCAAAACTAATAATCTGATCTGCCCACTGTAAGCAAGGAATTCTTCAATAGTTCATCCTCTCTGTAATGGTTTATTATACAAAATTGTATTTTAATGAGATACCGTTTTAGAGAGACGAAAATGGAAAAAATGGTGTCGAAAATTAATCGAAAAAAGTTATTTTTTTTTAACAATTTATTTAGTAGAACTGTAAAAACACCATTTTGGACTAAAATATTCGGAATTGATTCCCTTCCCCCTCCATAAAAAAAAGAAATATATCAGATGCTTGGTTATCAGCATGTAATGCTTACGGGAATATTGATCTAGAAATGTAGTTTCAAGAACTACAGGATTGGAGTGGTGTTTTCGATTTCTTTTTTTGGTGTTTTAATTGGGGTATGCGTGCTTAAGTTAAAGGAATCATAATATAAGCTTATTATTTATAGATATTAGTATTGCCCAAATTTGGTCTTGGTCTTGTACTTTGCTGGACCAAGACCAAGACCGCCTAACTGTTGCAAGACAAAGACCAAGCCTGGTGAAAAGTAATTAATTTTAATAAATAAAAATTAAGACAAATAGTTGCTAATGCTTGAAAATTTTAGTTACTATATGTAAAGAATTGGTATAACTAACATACTTTTGCATTTAACTGATCTAATTTTTCATTTGGGCTTAGCTAGGTTTCTCCTATTTAAAAAAAAATACAGTAATAAGCTAATAGGTAATTGCAAGACCAAGACCAAGACCAATACTCGTCTTGGTCTCGCATTTGGGCAACACTAATAGATACATCGGAATATTATGCCTTGCTCTGCTTATACACGATTTAACTACTTTTATTTAACTACTCCACTTTTACTCTTTCAGATCCTGGCCGTCGCCGCTTGCATCGCCACCGCTTCCGCTAAGCCCAGCGGCTTCCTGCCCGCCCCACTGGTCGCCGCCCCCTTGGCTTACCCCGCCCCCGTCGTGGCCAGCCGCACCGCCCAGGTCGTCCAGACCAACTTCAACACCCTGGCCGCTCCTTACTACGCCGCCCCAGCAGTAGCTGCTCCAGTCCTGGCAGCCAGGTACGCCTACGCCGCTCCAGCAGTCGCCGCTCCAGTGGCCGCAAGGTACGCTTTCCCCGCTCCAGCAGTAGCTGCCCCAGGATTTGCCGCTCCAGTGGCCGCACGATACGCCTTCCCCGCTCCAGCAGTAGCTGCCCCAGGATTTGCCGCTCCAGTGGCCGCACGATACGCCTACGCCGCTCCAGCAGTTGCTGGCCCAGTCGTAGCTGCCCCGGCAGTAGCAGCCGCGCCACCCGCCCCATTCCCCTATTACATATAAGTTTTTTCTACTAACTATTTTTGTAAATAAAAAAAATGAATATATAAAAATCTGTATCTATTTTTGTTAAAAACTCTGAAAAGCTGAAACTTTTGAAATTTTCATAATGTTGGGACTACGGGTATTTCAAAATTAAAATACAAACCTTTCCCCGATGAATTTCCTCAAAGGTGGGAAAAATTCGAGCAGAATTAAATGGTTAGAAAGAAGTGGAAAAAAGTGTGAAAATGAGACCCGTAATACATTAAAGAAAAACACATGCACAAACAACACTAAATAAAAAAAAATCTCGTTTTAAACGTTTACAATTTATTGAATAAAAAAAGAGATATAAATTTACACAAAAGTTGAAATAAACAATGGTGAAAAGTTTTCATAAAAAAAAACAAAATATAAATACAATATCCATAAAAAATAAAAACAAATTAACCATTAATAACAAAATATAAAAAAAATCAACTTCAAAAATTATAGATAAAACAAGAGAAAAAAATAATTGTCCAAAAAGAATAAAACTAATTTACAGGGGAAACGAAAATTAAATTAATTTTTAAATCTCTTCGTGATGGTGAGAATAAAAAAAAAAAACGAGCCAAGATAGAGGATCTGCTTCCAACGGGGTTATCTTATACAGCTAATGACAAAAGCAGTCGATGGTGGGAGAATCGATATGTATACCGATCTCGATCAATGACTGTCGATGCACCGAATAACTGTCATCATGGCGCAGGTGAGGTGAGACAAGGCTGGAGCTGGTGAAATGGTGGGGGTAAATGTCCAATGCGTCTATCCAACACAAACGGCAGCTTGCTCCAGACTGACTCTAGACCGCATCCCGGCAGTTTTATCGCAGTACTTAGATGTCTTAATCCTTAAGACAGGGTATTACTGCCGGACTGGTATATATAAATAAGCGATAATACATCACAAACAAAGCTAAATATATAAACAATATAAACTTAAAACATTTATTGAACTATTGTATCTTAGTTGTTAAAAAATAAAATAAATAAACATTTTATTATCAACATTTAAAAAGGGGTGAGTAATGAGAAAAAAATAAACGAAAGAAAAAAAGAAAGGAAAATAAAATGCGTAGATTCGGGCGTTAACACATAGTATTTTGTTTTACTACTCAAAAAAATATAAAAAAGTGATCTTTTAGAAGTATTATTGTTCGCATAATTATATTGAATAGTACTTGAAGAATCACTTAATATATATATATATAAAGCTCTTGGGGTAAAGTTCTTTCCCCCCCCCCAAAAAAAAATGAAATCCTGGATCAGCTAGTGCTATTGATATCTGGATAATCGAAAAAATATGTGTCACTTAATTTAATATTTGGGGACTCATGATGAACATCAAATTCAAACAGATTATTTTAAATTTTTTTTATATGATTTTTCTATTTTTGTTCTCGCTCTTCATTTAAATTATTTACGAACTTTATATAACGGTATTTTTTTTAAGTTCTATTATTTTGGCATCAGCTTTTTCCCTTACATTACTTAATACCTTTTCTGTTTACCCCAAATTTCCTTTAAAGAGAAGGCAGTGGTCAGTAAAGCGACGCTTATGAAAGTATGTCAACTGCACTCATTGAAATATAAATACAAACGGATTTAAATACATTATGATGTATAAGAATTGCAGAAAATGTAATTTTATAATACTTATAAGATAAATTATTCAGAAGAAAGAAATCTGATATTTTTAAACAAGGAAAAATAGTTAAGATGCCATAAAAGTGGCATCTCAAAATACTGCTTTGTTTTAGATATTAATTTTTCAGTAAATAGTTTCGAAGGGATAAGGAAAGTACTTGTAAATTCAAAGTTCTTCATACAGCCCCAGGCAAACAATCTTCGTTCTTATTTAATAAATAAATATCCAGAAAGGTCATTACAGGTCAGTAAAGATGCTTGATTTATTTTGTATTTTATTTTTGCATTGTTTTAGAAACCAAAATGGTTGAAACCATTTTGTTAGGGTCAATTTAAAACAAGGTCTGAACATCACCATCTCAGATATTCTTGAAATTTGCACTCTTGTACTATTTCTAGAGACAGCAAATTATTTTAAAAATCAACCAACCGGTATATTATATCACAGATTTGACATATTTTTACTTATTTCTCTAAAAACGGAGATTTTGATTAAACTATTATTTATTGATTAATTTATTATTATAAATAGTTTATCAATGTTATAAAAATTAAATAGATTTTAATGCCAGGTAGATCTTATCCTCACTGAAGTAGTTTAAATGCCTTTTTTTATTTTTTTTTAAATAATCATTTTTTCCATTGGAGAACAGAGGGACGACATCGACTAAATCTATATTTCTTTTTAGAACTCCAAAAACTTGAAAACATGTTGTATTGATACCTTGTGAAGCTCGTGGTGTTCCCGAGAATGTATATATATATATATATATATAGCCGATGTCACTCCTTCCATTTCATTACTCGTTCCACTGTGTGGCGTAGGTAAGGGATACCGAAAGCTTAATATCGGATTATAACTATCGGTACCACAAAAACATCGGATTTGAAATATTGATAGTGGATATTTTCATAGATATTATAAATATTTTTGAAATATTAAATTGAATATAAATATTGACTCTCTAGCACATAATCACTTCAAAAAAGATATTATTTTCAATCAATTCTTCTTCCCTCCTAAGTGAAATTAATTTTATAGTTCCTGTCCGTCTTCGTCTGCCTTTTCTAGAAATTTCCATTCAACCAATTATGCCTTCCATTCACCCATTAATTTTCATCCTTTTTTTTTTTTTTTTTTTTTTCTAATTCGTGTCCTTGATTTGTGAAGGTTCTAACAAAATAATTTAATATTAACTGGTCCTGTTTGAGTAGAAATTTAAATATTTAATTTGATTAGTTGAATTTCTTCAATCATATATCACAAACCTTGAACCTTGGAAAAATTGGGTAATTAAAAGAAATTCCAATAAATCCCATTAAATTGCATTCAACCTTCGTCGAAAAACCTATGAACTCCTGTCTTACAGTATCCTTAAACAATTCCCCATTTATTCCCAGTTGAACAAATAAGATACCCAGAACTCCACTTGGACAAACAACTCACTAGGAACTCTTATACCAGACTGAAACGACCAGAAGCCGCTCGACGTTTCCTATTACTGCAGCACTTACTAAACAAATGCTCTAAATTTTCAAAAGACTCATATATACGATTATAATAAGGCCTGTTTGGACTTACGGATTTTTTTTCTGTTCTTCCCTACCTCGCCTTTTAGGCTATACGGATTTTCCCGGACCAGAGGGTGAGAGCGGGGAATTTAAAATCCCCTCTGGCACCGGGACGCGAATCGTGACTATTTTCATATCAGGAATCATATATCTTGTTGCCGGGCAACGGCGGTGCAGTGTACACGCATTAGCCCATCGAATTCCTCTCGAATCCAATCCTTACAATCCAAAATCCTTCGTAAAACCCCAAGGCTCCTCTCTTTGTCACAAATAAAATGATCCATAAAGACCTTACAATACCAAATTTTTCCGAATTCGCCCAATGCAGATAACTATCCTATAAAAAACTTCAGAGCCATCCGAACCCTCTCTTTTCAAACCTTTCTTCCTCTTCAATGCCTGATAACCCTCCAAGGCGACTGAAAAGAAGATGGCCTCATAATCTACTTATGTAAATATATTATTAAAGTGCTACGAGTGATTAATTTCTCAACAAGCGTTTTCATGTTATTATATTCCTGAGTGCACATTTATTAGAAATATATTTATTTTAATATAGTTGTAAATATCACATATAAATAAATAAATTCGGTTAGTTGAATTTAAAATTTGAAATAAAAAACTTTCAGGGGTACGATTTTAATTACAGTCATATTTCAAGGGTCTTTTGGTGAATTTAGACGCTTAAAATTGTAATTATTGAATTTGAGTTTTTTACTGGATTATTATTTTTATCAGAGGCCAAACAAGGGCATTTCCACTAAATAATAATTATTTTTTGTAGTCATAACCTTCTTATATTTGAGATTTTGTTATCCATATTCAAAAGTTACAGTTTACTTTATTATTTTCAATAATGAACTACTGTAATCGATCAAAAAATTCACACCCTAAAATTCGAGATTTCCTATCTGTCCGCCTTTCGTGAATACGAAGCTGATTTTTTTTAAATTTGATAGGTCACCCGAGGGTGATCATCCCATCTCTACTAATGCAACCGCTCTTTCCTTTTAAAATGGCGTCCAAAAAACCTGTATCGCAATAGACTGTAGCACCTAACCCGATGTAACGACGTTAACGTCTAATTTGGCTATAGTATTCTCGAAGCTCATTTATTTTCTGTAAATGACATATTTCCTGGCAAAGGGTGCTGGAAAAAAAGTTACGAAGGATACAAAAATTAAATTTTTGAAATTAAATCCCCAAAAGAACGGAGAAGTTTAGAAACGGTAGATTTCTCAATACAGACATATTTTGATAGAAAGATTCGTTTATTAAAGTTTCATTTATTGCTGTATCAGGCTGATTTTTGAAATTTTAGATGTCTTAACATGACCGTAAATTTAAAACCAGCGGTTTTGGAATGACAGATAAGCCTTGTTTTTCTTATAAGTCATATGCAAACTACCTAAAATTAGTAATCTATTTTGACTCTGTTCTCAGAACTATAACATCTTTACTTTAAACTTTTTGGAATAACTTCTTAAGGTGCATTTTGAACATTTTTTGTGGAGAGTGGATTAGATTGAGGCGTCAGATTTCTGATATGTAACGTTTGGGTAAAGTCGGCTGGAGTCGAATACGTGAAGTATTTTTGGATCTCAAAATGGGTTAACGCTATCCGTTGCCCGGCAACCTGATATATGAATCAAATGATATCAAAATTACTCATAAGTTCGCGTCCCAATGCCGAGGGAGTCTTTTAAATCTCCGTCTACATCCCTTGGCCCGGGAAAACCCCGTATAGCCTTAACGGCGAGGAAGGGGCGGGCCCAAAAAAAAAAGGATCTCAAAAACTAAAAATTGGACCTCCATATTGTTAGCGAGGGAAATGTTTATAATTTCATCCTCGTTGTAATGAGCCATTATTTAAAATTGTATTATCTTAAAGCATCTTAAACCGATGTGGCCCTCGAACCAAAAGTTTGGAGACCTCTGCTCAAATTCATAACCTATCATTGAAACAGTTCCTGAAACCCTCCGAGGAGACTGAAAAGAAGATGACCAAGAGACCTCCTACCTTGAAGTAGCTATGAGTAGTTTCTTGAAAAGCTTTTATCACAGATTATATTCAATTTTCATCATTTATAATGAGCTATTATTCTAAATTTTATCTTAACGCGACACCGTATTAGAGAGGGGAAAAGGAAAAAGCTATTGTCGAAAACCAAATGCTAACGATTTTTAGTAAAGATATGGATTAAAATATCTAAAAATTATAAATCAGACCTGCATACTATAAGCGAAGGAAATGTTCAGCATTTCATTCCCTTTTTAATGAGCTGTTATTTATAATTTATATTTCATATTATTAATCTTGAATAGTCGATGTTTTCACTTCTATCATGTCGTATAAAACACACACCTTAGTTTTTTACTTCCCTACCTATACTAGGTAAGGAAAGTATTAAAATCGTGTCAAATTTCCGATATGCGGTTTTCGACGGATCTATACGTTTCAGAGTCCTCTGAGTCCAAAAAACACATTTTTAACCATTGGTCAGTCTGTCTATCTGTTTGCCTGTCTATCTGTGCCAAGATTTTCTCGAGAACTACTGAAGCGATTTTGTTGCTTATTTTTTTATTTTGTAGGGTTTTGACTACTGATGCTTGTGATAGTAATTCGGTGCTCCATGCGCAATAGCTTGGAAAAACATTTTTGAAAGGTAATTAAATTCCCTACAAAGCGATATAAAAACCATTCATTTTGGACAACTATTAACGAAGTTACAACTATTCAATTCTCAATGTAAGATTACGGTTTCATATCCTGGTGTCAGAAAGGGGTGAATCAGAGAAAAAAGATGACTAAGTGAAAGTAAGGAAATGTGTTGCCCGCATCACACACGCTTCACTATTTCCTCTACTTTTAACAGAAATTATTGTTTGACAAAATTAGGCTATGGCAAGTTTTTGATGAGCTATATTGGAGAGTATTGAAATGTTTACACTGATCTATTTTAAGCCGGTTTGCATTGCTTTATTTTATCAAATAAATCGTACTCAAATCATTTCTTTGATCAATTTTAAGGAAAATAAATTCAATTTGTTTTTGTTTCTTCATGAAGAAATGTAAAGATATAAAAACTTTTTTGAAATAGGTAGGAAAGTCGTGTGAGTGGACACACCAGATTTTTTTTATTATGTGTCTTCATTTCTCTTGATCTCTCCTCACTATCTTTCGTTATAATTGTATGTTTTATTATAATTTTATAACGGGCTTTTTTAATATCTAGTTTTATACTAATTTGATCCTTATTACACGATTGACAATATCCAAGCTGAAATTCGGTAATTATCTAAGACATTGGTAACTGTCCATCCTATTAACAGTTCGCTCACGACCGAGGGGATGGTATATATGTGCCAATGGGCTGTCTACTCTTCAGTATCGTAGTGTCTACAACTGGAGCATCATCAACATCAACATGAACTGCTACACTCTGGTCAGCCTCTCAGTAGAGATATATTAACTATTTAATATAATATGTTTATTATTAATAAATAGTTGGGGTCTGTATTCATAATTGAGAAAATAGTGATATAATTTGGAAAAAAGTAAATTAAATAAATTTTGAAGAAGGAGAATTCATTTTTTCTCATTCAAATATAGTTCGGATAATCTGTGTCCCCCCTCTTCATTAATCTAAAAAAATATACCAATATATCTTTTTATATTGCTGAAGAGAGGGGGATATATTCCCCGAACCGTACAAAAAATAACTATCAAAAGTTAGATATTATTTTTATTTAACTGATCTTGAAGCATACATTCAAGTCTGAATAGAAATTGAAAAATAAAGATCAACATTTAAAAACTATGAAAAATAATAAAGCATGACATCTATACAACAAAATAGCCTATATTTTTTCGTTCTGTAAGGAATTTATAAAACTTTCAAATTATCATATCTAGAATGTAATAATTTTCGAGTTGTGCTCCAGTAAAATTTACTTTTTTCTTGAATCTTTTGGGGTATATACTAAATTTCTGACTCTGGCATTGAAGATAATCATACAAAATAGGATAATTTAATTTTGGGATTCGATGGAGTGTTAAGGAATATACGGCGTACAGAATAAAAAATAAAATAATTTTAAAATCATAAAATCATAAATCTGTGCCCCGAAGCTAAAGGATACCTAGTCCAATTTTTAATTAAATAATTTAGTAATTAAGAAATAAGGTTTCAACCTTGAAGTATGGAAAATTATGGAAAATGGAAAATTAGCAGCCTGAACTAATAAATTAATGAATACTATATGTGGTCCTTTACCGCCGAGGCACAGATATAAAAGCTGTTAACTTGAAGTCTATTTTATTTCTATTTAAATGCAGTACTGCTTAATAAATACTAAATAAATAAATTTATTTTACATATTAGTATTTGTGAAATAGTAACAAAAAATCACTAAAAAAAAGAAAAAAAGGAATAAAAAAGAAGAAAAAATATTTCCTATGTTTAATTTAATATGACGGATTTTAAATTAAAGGATAAATCTTTATTTATTTAGAGGTTAGTTCAGAAACATCTGTAAAAGATTTGGCCAATTAAATCTTAAACGAATATTTAAATTTTGTGATACTTTTATTTTTGTTTTTTATCGTTTGTGATAACCATAAATATTTCATATTTTTATTTTACGTATTCTATATTATTTAAGCAGCTGAGAGTTTAATCGAAGGCCTTGGTACAAGAATATGACCACATTATGGGAATTCTCCACAGTAGAAATGTCTGAATTTTGAAAATTCTATAATTCATATTCAATATTTTATATAGTTCACATTCTATAATATAATTATTAAATGTGTATCGTTTCAAAATGTATCAGCTTATTTGCTTTACAATTTTCATTTCATATGAAAAATATATATTTTTTGCAGAAAAAGAAATCTTAACCTATTTTGAAGGAATACAAGTTGGCTATAAAAATAATAAAAAGACATTTTCAGAAATTTAGCTAATTAATTTTATTATATAAAATAACCTTTAGAATTAAAAAAATATTATGTTTTCCTTATTCTAGTTTCTTACTACATTTATCAGCAGTCTATAGGGGAAAGAATTCCGATTTTTTCATAAATGAATAATGAATCACAACAGTGAACAATATAGTTTGATGAAGATGAGAGTTTTCTCTCAAAAGTATTGCTTGAAGATATACTGTCATGACCCAGTGGCAGCATAAAAACAAAATTAAATTTTCTTTTTTCTGAGAAGTTGTATGATGTTCTTAGTTATTTGGCAATGATTACTTCCATTTAGCAACAATTATATATATTTGTTGTATTATCGAAATTGCATGTTTACAAGTTTATTAAGGGGCAGACCCCCAATAATTATTCTAAAAGCAAGATGTTGCTCTAGATGTTATATACCTAGATTATTATAACATGAATTAGAAACTGACGGTGGAGCACATTATTTTTAATCCTTGTATCCACAAGATCATTGGGATTGTGGTTCTGAAGATGGGAGTAAATATCTCGAAACGTAAACTTGTAAACATGCAATTTTGATAATACAACAAATATATTCAATTGTTGCTAAATGGAAGTAATTATTGCCAAATAACTAACAAATAAAAAATCATAAAATATGACGGAATAATCAAATTAAATCGTAATATTATCCAAAAAAAAAATGAGATTAGTGCCGGTTTAAAACAAGTTTATCCCTCTTTCTTTCGCTGATACCATTTAGCTTGTCTAATTTAATTTATTATTATTATTTATTATTTTGTTCTATTTATTTCATTTTTTTTGTACATATAGTGTGAATGTCATCCTACCTCACTATAAATAATGTCCAAGAGACAGATTGTTGTAATACTCAATAAAGAAATAGTAGAATTTAATTTAGCATTATACCATGCTATTAGAGAGGTTATGCATATCAAAAAAGGTTTGAATATAGATTAAACATTACAGTTTTAATTATCTTTGTAGTAACAATATGATTTGTTGCACAGTCCTACAATATGTTGGTATAAAAACAAATAACTCATGTCATATTCTTGCCTCAAGATGTGCATATATATTGCATCTATACGAAGTTATATATAATCCTATTTCTATATATCTTATTTATATTTGTATATCACTTATTGGTTATATTTCTTCTGTACTCCTCTAGATCCTGGCCGCCGCTGCTTGCATCGCCTCCGCTTCCGCTAAGCCCAGCGGCTTCCTGCCCGCCCCTCTGGTCGCCGCCCCCTTGGCTTACCCCGCCCCCGTCGTGGCCAGCCGCACCGCCCAGGTCGTCCAGACCAACTTCAACACCCTGGCCGCTCCTTACTACGCCGCCCCAGCAGTAGCTGCTCCAGTCCTAGCAGCAAGATACGCCTACGCCGCACCAGCAGTCGCCGCTCCAGTGGCCGCAAGATACGCTTTCCCCGCTCCAGCAGTAGCTGCTCCAGTAGTGGCCGCCCCCGCCAGGCTGGCTGCCCCGGCAGTCGCTGCTCCAGTACCCGCTGCCTTCGCCGCACCGGCAGTCGCCCCTGCTTTACCCGCACCCTTTCCATACTATATATAAGTAACTTCGTTGAATATTACTATTTTTGTAAATAAATAAATGAAAATATAATAACATTTTTTTGACTTATTACCCCAAACCAACCATCAATTATTCACAATCATCAATCCACAATTATAGTAACTTTTCATTTGATTACCATCCTGATCTTCTTCTTTTTTCTTTTAATTTATTTTAATGAAATTTACAACTACATTACATGAAAAATACAACAAGAAAATGTGACATTGATAACATGGCATGTACAACATGAATAGAAATTACCCATTGGTAGAACTCAAATTAAACTTATATATTAGAAGGTCCCGAGGTCATATTCTTTTCCAACGCCTCGGAGGGTTATCAGTAGTGTTGCCAAATGCGAGACCAAGACGAGTCTTGGTCTTGCAAACTTAGTCTTGGTCATGGTCTTGGTCTTGCGCAAGAGTCTCGCAACAGTCTTGTAGTTACTTATTACTTTATTACTATAGAGATATTGCTGTAATCTTTTAGATAGGAGAAACCTAACTAAGCCCGAATGAAAAATTAGAGGAGTTAAATGTAAAAGTATATTGGTTATACCAATTATTAACATATAGTAACTAAGATTGTCAAGTATTATTAACTATTTTCCTTAATTTTTATGTAAAAAATCTATATTTTTTACCAGTCCTGGTCTTGGTCTTGGTCTTGCAAAATGCAAGACCAAGACCGATTTTGGGCAACACTAGTTATCAGGAAAAAAGAGGAAGCAAGATTGGAAACAAGTAGGTTCAGATGGTCTTGAAGTTTATTATGGAAGGATAGATATCTAGATTGGGCTAAATCGGAAACATATGGTACATTAAGATCGTTATGGATGATTTTATTTGTGACAAAGTAAGGAGCGTTGAGGATTTTACGAAGGATTTTGGATTGTAAGGATTGAATACGAGAGGAATTCGATGGTTTGGTAGAGCCACATGGCTCGATTCCTTAAGTCCAAATAGGCCTTGATCAACTTTCAACTACGAAATTATTTTTTTGTCATTGCAGTACGCCTAGTAATAATTTTTTAATTGAAATTGTGCCAAATATTTATATAGTGCTAAGGTATTTCAAAATTCTTTACTTTAAATACAACTTGGATTGAAAATAGTGGTGCAAGAGGAGTCTTGGTCTTGCGCACTCAGTCTTGCAGTTACTTATTAGCTTATTACTATAGAGATATTACTGTAATTTTTTAGATAGGAGAAACCTAATTAAGCCCAAATGAAAAATTAGAAGAGTTAAATGAAAAAATATATTGGTTATGTCAATTCTTTACATATAGTAACTAAAATTATCAAGTATTAGTAATTAAATTGCCTTAATTTTTATTCATTAAAAATTGATTATTTTTAGTGTTCTTGGTCTTGGTCTTGCAAAGTGCAAGCGTTACGGAGATGGCAAGGTGTTGCAGAGTGAAGGTTGAACTAATTGCATCACTTCACCAGATTATACAGGATATCATTCCTATTAAGTGAAGAAAGCTCAGCTGAATCAGCAAGTTTTCTTTTCCTATTTAAATCACACTAAGCATAGACTAGGAAACTAATGGAACCACCCCATGATGGGGTCTAAAGCCCTAAAACTTGCTATAGATTTCATGATAGGTGTTGGGAGCCATAAGTATTTCAAAATGAAAATACAAACCTTTCCCCGGTGAGTTTCCTCAAAGGTAGGAAATATGAGTAAAATTAAACGAAGAGAAAATGAAGAGATTAGAACGATGTAAAAAATGAGACATGTAAAAGACAATGTGCATGCACAACAAAATATTAAATATAAATATTAAATAATCAAGTTGGAAAATAAATAATCCCCTTTGAATGTTAACAATATTATACTGGATATAAAAAGTGATATAATAGTTAAAAACAAATAAAAATGAACCATTATATAAAAATTCATTGAAATAAAATTAAATATAAACACAGTATTCAATAAAAAATAAAAAATATTCACCTAAAAATAAAACATAAATAATAAAAATAACTTTTAAAATTGAAATCAATAATAAGAAAACAATTTTTGGCGTTCTTCGGACGTCCAAAAAATATTTTAAAAGGAAAAAACCAAATTAATATTCAAACGTATTTTTTGTTGTTGATGAGAAGAAAACAATCCCAGTGGGAAATAAAGAAGTCTTACTCCCTACGAGGTTACCTTTGAGGTGCTGTCAAGCAGTCGAGGTGGGGGGGGGGGGGATGTTGGCAACGAAAGCTCGCTGCAGCCTAATCGTAATATTTTGCTGTCCTAATTCTTAAGACTCATTATTACTCCCGAGCTGGTGCGTATACACAAACCCGATTATACATCGCGAATAATATTAATAATAATCTTTTATTTATTCTGGGACGAACCCCTTTAGAATAATTAACAAGGACAGAAATGTGGGTTTTTGAGCCTCAAATATATATAAATACTTTTACTAAGTTAACTAATAGATATAATAGAGAAAAAAACAAAAAAGTTATCCTCTAGATTAAATCGATTAAGAAGAAAAAAAAATAATAAAAGAAAGAACAATGAAATGAATGGAAAGAAAGTGATTGAATAGGCGGGAATTAAAAGTAGGGAGAGTATTTGAGAGACGGATGTCGGGAGGGATGGAGTTCCATAGGGATGAGGATCGAATAACAAAAGATTTATCGAAAGCAGCGGTTCGGTGGGATATTATATATATAAATGAAGACCGAAGACGCGAATTGCGGAAATGGACAGAGGATTTAAATTGAAGGAGCTCGGCGATGTATGAAGGACGGCGGGAGTGAATGTCTTGGAAGAGAAAGAATGCCAGGAAACACGGGCGGATCTACGGGAGGACTTTCGGGCTGAAGCCCCCCCCAAAATGGTAAAATATAGCCATGTTTTATCGAAAAAAATCTTTAAAAAGTATCTCTTAAAGTATTATTGTTTGTGTAATTACATTTGAAAGGGCTTTAGGAATCACTTAAACGCCATTTCATATAGGTAGTTAGTTTCTTTTTTTTTTCCAAAGTAATTATCGTTATTTTTATGAAAAAAACAGCTTTCGGGCTGAAGCCCCCCCCCCCAAAAATGAAATCCTGGATCCGCTAGTCCCAGGAAATACAGCGGTAGGGAGGATAAAGCCAATTCAACTCTTCATAGAAACACGAACTAGGGGCGTTCGTTGGTATCCCGAAGATGAATAGTACAAAGCAATTTATCAAACGTTTTAGTTAATGTCTAATATTTAAATAATATACAATCAAATATGTTTCTGATACAATTATCTCTGCCTATTACAAAAATAAAATGAATAAACATTTTCTTCATTAACAATTAAAAGGGGTAAAACGGTGGGAAAAAATAAATGAATGGGAAATTGGGATGCGTTGATTCAGGCGTTAACAATTGAAATAAATTATTTGTTTCTTTTGAAGAATTGTTATTGGTATTAGAGCACAGCAGAAGTTCGCGGATTTAACCTACGTATAACCAATGATCTCGATATGTTTTGGACTGCACCAGCCAGTTCCAAAGTTGACAATCGAAAAATTTCTTTGCGAGGGTTAATATCAACAGTTTTCTTAAAATGCCTATCATTATAGTTACTATAGAGTTTTTGAGATGTTTCGTACTTTCTTTCTCACAGTTTTGCAAAGAGTAAATTGAACATTTATCTTATTTTATCTTTATCGTTATCTTTATACTTAAAGAAAGAACTAGAATTTTTCTGAGGTATGTCCATTACTGGTTCTGACCTCCTATCTATTACTAGAACATTTGAATTTCGGGGTGTCCATCGCTAGTGCAAAAAGATGTTTTTTAAAATGGAGATTATATCTGCATAACTGTAAATATTTTCAATTTTAGAGTGTTAAAACGAATAAGGAGATCATATAGATTCTAAACATCATACGGATAAGTTAATAACTATATAAAAATTTGTTTAGCCATGTCCATCACTGGTACGCTTACCATAATTGGGTTTGAGGCAAATAACTTACATCAAATTTTTAACTCCTCCTAATTATCAAATTATGAGACTTTCTAAATTATGAGCCACTTAACTAAACAAATCTAAAGATGGAACAAATTTCAACGGTGAGATAGCAGCGATATTCATAGCCCTAAGAACACTGTCTGGAAGGCAAGATTGGAGCGATAGATCAGAGCCGTTATAAAAAAAAATCCCTAAGTACATTTCCATCTTAATAACTAATTTGTGTCGCAATGTCTAAATACACTAACGATTAAACCATCGAGAAGGAAACATTGTGTATATTAATATTTAAAGGCCCAGTCACTGGAGAATCATTGCAGATACATTCTTTGCACAAAGTGTATGGTCTTTCCATGGCAATTCAACAAAAGGTCTGAACCTCACCAATCAAATTTTCTTGAAATTCGGTACTTTATTTTTCTTAATCACTATAAATAGTAATAGTGACTAAGAAAAATAAAATTTTACTGAGAAAACTCTTAGACAGGAATTAGTCAGGAGTTAAGAAACCATTCATTAACTCCAAAACAAGATTAAAAATTGCCGTAGAACATTGCATAATATCAATCGGTCTATTAATTTCGTTACAACATAAAAACTACATAACAGTTTGTGGTTAATAGCTGGGAATAGGTTCACCTAAGCTAAGTTTTTATGACAATTAATAACTTATAATTATTTGATTTTCTTTTCTCAGGTTGTTCTGTGTTGTCAATGTTCTGAAAATGTATACATATAAATCTATGTTTCTGATCTTCCCCTAAAAAAAAAAACAAAAAAAAAACGCAAGTTTGGAATTTAAGAAAATTTTATTTTTCAGAATTATTTACTCGGATGCACCAAAGACCAGGAAACACTTGGGATATTCATCCGTTACTGAAAGTTCAAACAAGTCCTGTACAAGCTTCCAGGAGTGTTCATCTTCACGGAGAAAGCCATTAGCTTAAAAGAAGCTCTCTTGCACATCGGAACATCATGCTATTGTTACTTATCCTATGTGTGAAGAAAAATAGAATAGAACAGAAGAATTAAGGACCCTGTGAAGGGCATTTCAGGGGTGCCCATTCTCCCTAGGTCGATGGCGGAGGAACTCGGTCTCCCCCTCTGAAGATTTTTTTTTCTTTCCTCTTATAGAAAACTGCGCAAGCAAAAATAGAATTGGAAAAATCATTTCGACTCTCAAGCAGTCATCCTCGCTATTACTAACGTGAATGAAAGTCTCTCGAGTGCTATCTTGGTGTGCGAATCCCTCCTCTACGATCTAACACTCCGAATCACCCTGTGGTCCTTCAGAGAATTTCAAACCATTGCGGGATTCCAGGAAATGAGGAAGCAGATAGTCTCGCCAAGAGTGGAGCAGCATTGACTTAACCAGTCCATCCAAAGTCTTACGATTCAATTTGACGAATGATGAGGATGGTAGTGAAGGAGAAAATAAAAAAATACATAGAGACGAGGTGAAACAGAAATGTTATAAATTTTTTATGAAAAATCAGATCCCAGCTTACCTACCAAGAAGAGATGCAATAGCCTGCTTCCACCTGGTCGCTGGTCACGACTATCTGCAGAGTCATCCCACATGATAGTGGTGGCTGAGGATCCTAGGTGTAAATTGTATGAACAAGGAAGAATGGACGCAGACCACCTAAACGAATGTCCTGCCTTGATAGGCATAAGAGAAAATATATTTTTAAATGAATATATGAAAAATTCTAATTTATATTGGGCAGCAAGATGTCGGATGGTTCATTGACAAACTACTTCGGCTAAGTCTAGCACAAATATAATAAAAATGAAAATTGTTACATACGAAGACTTACACAAACAGCAGATCAAAAGTCTCAGTAGATTCAATAGAAAATATTATACAAATTTTAAAACAATCAAAATTGTACCATAAAATATAATAATTAATGCAACATATGAAAATAAACAATAAACTCCCCTTTTTTATTATTATTATTTTACCAATATTATTTAATATATATATGTCTGACCTACCGGAACACAATGACACAATACTGGCTACTTTTTCAGACGATACCGCAATCCTAAGCTCAGATAAAAACCCTGTTCGAGCATCTACCATCCTTCAAAATCATCTGGACGATATTGCAGATTGGGCAACAAGGTGGAAAATTAAGAGAAATGAAAAAAAAAAGTGTGCATGTAGTATTCACTCTTAACCATAAACCTTAACCTAAAATATATTTTAATAACATTAAAATTCCAACATAAGATGTAATTAGGTATTTAGGTTTTCACCTGGACAAAAGACTTACTTGGAGGACTCACATCAGACAAAAACGAATAGAATTAAACAGACGGTCTCATATCCAGATTATTTGACGGACGTTCAAAATTATCTTTAACTAACAAACTAACCCTTTATAAAGTCTTACTTAAACCTATTTGGACTTACGGCATAGAACTGGGGGGCTCTGCTAAAACTTCCAACATTAAAAAAGTTCAGTCCTTTCAGTCAAAAGTGTTGCGAAGGATAGTTGACGCACCTTTTTATGTCGCAAATGATACACTACATAAAGACTTAAACGTACCTAAAATTTTAGATACGGCAAAGGAGAAATACAATAAATTTCACCAAAGACTGACGTACAACATGAATCCCCTGACAGAAATTCTTCATCGTACAAGAAACCCGTACAGCCCTCTACGAAGATTACGTAGGCGTTGGCCAAGAGACTTGCTGATCTGATTTATATCCCAGACGTCATGGGAAACTGTGAAACTGCCAAAAAATTTGCTCATTGCAAAGAAATTTTCATATTGCAAATTTAATCAAATGTTCTACATTTTTGTTTCGTTAATAAAAAAAATATTTTATTTATTTATGTTTTGTTGCGAAATACTCCGAGGCCATGAAGATCTATTGTACGCATATATATAAATTACTTATAGTATAACTTATTAAAATATATATATATATATATATATATATATATATATGTTTATAACATTGCAACAACCTCCAAATATAATTTCAAATTTATACATTCATAAAGTTAAATTAAAAATAACACCATAGCTCAAGGGCGTAGTAATCAAGTTGGTCGCCTAAGACAACTCAGTACTGATATATACTTAACAGGAATGTTTTCACTGGTGAAATAGATGGGACGAAAAATCCCTTCAAAAAACTTCTTGTTAGTTCGGAGTGAACGAGACCAATATTTGTCTTTAGTCAGAACAAAACGAACAAAAACATGAAAGAAGTTAATAAAACTTTGATGTTTAAGATGGAAATCGAGGACACGGCGAGATGGTTGAACTTCAACAGAAATAAACACAATCACAAATACGACTTTTTTTTTTACAAACTCAGACTAAAATTTAATTTAAATTTATTGAAAACTACACGAAATCTTATTAACGGCAGTTAGTGTCATGCCAGCAACTAATGTTGCCCAAATACGAGACCGAGACGAGTCTTGGTCTTGCAAACTTAGTCTTGGTGTAGGTCTTGGTCTTGGGCTCTCGTAACAGTCTTGCAGTTACCTATTAGCTTATTACTAGAGATATATTAATAATAATAATGCTTTATTTATTCTGAGACGAGTCCCTTTAGAATAGTACAGAAAGACAAAAATGTGGGCTAAGGAGCAAATAAATAGCAAAAATAATAAAAGAAATTATAACTCACTGTATAATTTAAATCAGTTAATAATAAAAAATTGAAAATAATACATATTTACAGTCGTAACTATTTACAATTTTATGGGGACTGGATGGATAAGAAATGATTGAACAGTTGGGTTTTAAAGGTAGGAAGGGTATTGGATTGACGGATGTGGGGAGGGATGGAGTTCCGTAGGGAAGAAGGATCGGATAACGAACTATCTGTCGAAAGCAGCGGTTGGGTGGGCCCTTATGTACCTATATAAATCAGAAGACCGGGAACGAACGGAGGATTTGAATTGAAGGAGCTCGGAGATGTATGAAGGACGGTGGGATTGGATGACTTGAAAGAGGATGTTACTGTAATTTTTTATATATGAGAAACCTAAGCCTAAATGAAAAATTAGACGTGTTAAATTCAAAAGTATATTGGTTACACCAATTCTTTACATACAGTAACTAAAATTGTCAAGTATTAGTAACTATTTCCACTAAATTTTTATTCAAAAAATTGATTTTTTTTTACCAGTCTTGGTCTTGGTCTTGCAAAGTGCTGGTCCAAAAGACCGAGACCGATTTTGAGCTACAATACTAGCTACTAATAAGAAGAAATAATACAGTATAAATTAACTTTTTGAATAAAACCTAAAATTTTATAATCTCACAAAAATATTGTATTGACCTAACCTCTATTTCATATGACCAATGCCTTCCGTATTTAACAGAAAATATATTTTTAACACTTATTTATATTAATTTTAGCTATTCATACGTTTTTAAAAATTGAATTATGTTTGTTTTTATTAAATAATATAATAAGTCAACTAAATAATGCCAGTTGATGGAATATATCCGAAGAATTTGAAGATGTGCATTAGATTTTCACTACATGTGTCCTCTTCAGAATATGTTATCTCGATATAATTTCTTGTTGCTCTGACGGAACTTCGACATCTTGACCGAGCAGAATGACGGACCTTGCTCAAGACATTGGTAAGTGGCCATCGAATTAGGAATTCACTCACGCTCGACAGGATGGTATATATGTGGCAGTGGGCTGTATGCACATCAGTCTCCTAGTAACATCGACTAGCGCATCATCATCATGAACTACTACACTCTGGTCAGCATCTTAGCAGTTAACAAATTTACTAGTGATGGAATTTTCGGAACACTTTTATTTTTTTAAGGATCTTGACTGAAAACGATTTTAAATATATTTGAAAGTTAAAATTTTGAAGTGTGAACTTCTTTAGACACGTTTTGTACTTTTTTATGGAGAGTGAATTACATTGACCTGTCAGATTTCCGAAGTGTTAACGCTCGGTTAAACTCGGTTTGAGTCGACTAATTGAAATGTTTTTAAATATGGATTAAAATATCTTAGAAACTAAAAATCGGGCCTGCTTATTGTAAGCGAGGAAATTGTTCAGCATTTCATCCTCTTTGTTATACAATATAATTCAAAATAATATCTTACCACCAGGCTACACAGTGGTACGAGTAAGAGAAAACTCGAGACATTTATCTAAATCTTTCTTTTTTTTTAGAACTCCAAAAAATATATAAACTGTTTTATCGATACGTTGGGTTGTTGGTGGAGTTTCCGAGAATATTTTTAATTGGCACAATATAAATTTTTCACTGTTATTATTGAATAGATCAATTGAAAAAGAAAATGATTTATACGATGTCGCAAGATTTACCTTACTCGTCCCAACGTGTGCCACATCCTTTTTTTTTTTTTAATTAAACTATTCAATAAAAATAGTGAAAAATGTATATTTCACCAAATAAAAATCTTCTCGAAAATTCCGCAAACAACACTAGGTATCCATAAAACATTTTATCCAGCTTTTGGAGTTCTGAAGTTCTAGACTTGGAATTTTCCCTTACTCGTGCGACTGAGCGCCGTGTTATGGAGGCCTAATGGAAAAATATTGTCGAAAAACAAATGATAACGAGTTTATTTGAAAATAAGGATTAAAATATTTCAGTACTAAAAATCGGATCTGTATGCTGTAAGCGAGGGAAAGTTCAGAATTTCATCTTCATTGTAATTAGTGATTATTTATAATTTATATTTCATATTATTAATCTCGCCGTGTAGATGTTATGTTTTCACTTCTATTATGTGGTCTAAAGCATATTTTAGTTTTATTATTATGTTTTCAAAAATGAAAAAATTTCAATCGTTATCATTTCTAATTTTGAGGAGAATTGGATTTTTTATATCTCGCTGTTTAGTCCTATCTCTTTTATGCAGTTAATGGCTGTTCTGTTAGTGACCTTAACTCATTCTGTTGGCGAGAATTGAGAAATATTCAAATCGGTTAATTCTTCTGCTATGCACAGATTATGATAATTCTTTTCTGCTTGACTGTCTGAAGCGTCTATTTTTTAACAGTCGTTGTAACCAATCAAAGTGTTTTTGATATTAGTTAATCCCTCTCAATCTCTATTGTCATTTACTAAAGATGCCTTCTGCTGCTGATAGGAGCTCGAGATTTTTCTAACAAGTGTGCTTCTGTTGCAGTTCTGTCGGACATGATGTGTGTTAAAAAATCAAAATCATATCTTCTCTGCTTGAAATTAGTAATTTATGAAACTGTAAATATGGAACACAATCTTTTTAATTTATATTTTGAGAGTTGCTGTTTCCAACATCCAATCCAAATTAATGAATAAAATAATTTTAATCTGGGACTACAGTCCTCTAAGAATAATAACAGTGTTCCATATTTATAAACATTAATCTGGCTTGGAGTATGCAAAATGATCTTAATTAACTGTTAATATCATTTGCAATTACACAGTTGATTGAATTATACCGTGTACAGAAGCAAGTTGATTTTTGTTAGTGGAAGTTTGATAATAAAGTAGGTGGTGGAATAGGAGTTGTTTGAAGGAATTTATGGACGAATGAACAAATGACGCAAAGATTTTCTAGATCTATAGATTGAGAGAGTGGTCAGAAGAGCGTAAAGTAAGGAGTTCTAAGATTTAGTTAGAGCTTTTGATTCTGAGGACTATGCAAAACAGCAAGTAGAAATTGTCGTCGGGAAGAAGGATAAAGCCACTTCAACTCGATGTACTAGCAAGAACATGAGAACGCCTGATAATAAATTATGTCGAATTAGTTATTTCGGACCCATGGGTGTATATGACTATACAATTTTTACTAGCGATGTATTATTTAAGTAAATTTAGAATCTTATTAATTTCAATAAGTTGGTATTAAAAATGGAAGAAGTGTCTAAGGAGGTAGGTTGTCGTCGTTTATTAATATTTGGGTGATAAATATTCAGAAAGCAGTCGTAAAAAAGTTTTTATTGGTGCCGACGTTTCAAGCCAAAGATGTGGGTCATCACCTTCAGTGCTCGAAACACTCCTTAATAATGAATGACCCACATGTTTCGGTTGAAACGTCGGCAAAAATCAAAACTTTGAATAAGAACAGTCGAATAATTTCCTTAAATAATTTATTAATATTTGGTTATTTTTATTTTATGGTCTGAAGCAGGCAGAAAGCGATGCAGTTTTTGCTCGCTAAGCTAAATATGAATCTAGACTAATATCCTAATTACGATTCAAACCACAATCTAAGTATTAATTTAATCATATTGAGTGTTAATGATTTGACTAATTCTCCTTGTACTCCTCTAGATCTTGGCCGTCGCCGCTTGCATCGCTTCCTCTTCGGCGAAACCCAGCGGCCTCCTGCCCGCTCCACTGGTCGCCGCTCCAGTCGCCGCCCCCTTGGCTTACAGTGCTCCCATCGTCACCAGCCGAAGCGCCCAGGTCGTCCAGAGGAACTTTAACGCCATCGCTGCTCCATACTATGCCGCCCCAGCAGTAGCTGCTCCGGTCCTAGCAGCAAGGTACGCTTACGCCGCACCAGCAGTAGCTGCTCCATTTGTCGCTGCGCCGGCAGTTGCCGCTCCAGCTAGATTGGTTGCGCCAGCAGTGGCTGCTCCTGCTCCGGTGCTTGCAGCAAGGTACGCCTATGCTCCTGCAGTAGCTGCTCCAGCAGTCGCTGCTCCTCTTGCAGCTCCAGTCGCTGCTCCTCTTGCTGCTCCAGTCGCTGCAAGATATGCATACCCCGCTCCAGCAGTTGCTGCACCGGCAGTCGCTGCTCCCGCTAGGCTAGCAGCACCTGCATTACCCGCTCCATTTCCATACTACATATAATTCAGTACAAACATCTAAACGAAAATTGTGTATAAAATGCAAATAAAAAAAAAGATAAAATATTAAATATGATTTATTATTTATTAACCAAAACAATAACACTTGACATAACATGTAATGGAATGAAATCTGCGAATAACTTTAAAATAAGCAAATTTCGTGGAGAGCTCGAAAACGTTCAATCACGATATACAAATCAGCTCAGTAAATCTCTTGGCCACCGCCTACATGATCGTCGTGGTGGGCTGTACGGGTTCCTTCTGAAAATAAGAATTTATGTCAGTAAATGTATTTTGTAAGTCAGTTTTTTTTAATAGTTTTTTTTTCTGTTGGAGTTACAGACCTTTTAGATCTTTTGCCGCCTTAACAAGCCTGCTCCATCTCTGCCTGTCTTGGGCTATTTCTTTCCATTTATCTGCACGCAGCTCTTTTGCATCTTTGTTGATTCTATCTATCCATCTGCTTTTTGGCTCTCCACGTTTACGCCTTCTATTGAGGTATACATTGTTACGTAGAGACTTTCATATCGCTTCGAGCTACATGCCACGTCCATCTTAATCTCCTTGCCTTCATATCATGGGATATTTATTGACCAGTTTCTTTGAGCAGTTATTTTTTTCTCTTTTTTCTCTAAGTGTTAGTACTCTGAACCCAGATCACTCCGGTTATCAAACGGAGGCATTTTCTCTAAAATCTTTCAACATTTTTTTCTAGGTTGCTTGTTAGTGTCCAAGTCTGTATCTGTTGAAATTTATTGTTTTCATTGTCTGAAATCGTTGAGATGTCTATATGATTTGTGGCACAGAACGCTGCGTCAGGTATTTTCCACGAAATTTTTTAATGTGGATTTTAATAACCCTACAGTATTATCTCGGAACTCAAAATTACCTTGTAAGTTATAAATAATTTTGAAAGCAGGTGTCAAGAAACCTGGACAAAATACGGTCAGTTAAAATTTACTATAAATTTGTATCTCAAAATTCAAAATATTTTTAAAATTTTACTTTCTCCGACCATCTAGAACAAAACTTTCTGACATTAAGTTCATTGATGCAAGTGTTTCTCATAATTCTGTCTTGGGAGCAATATTATTTGATATATATGCGAGACCTTTCGCAGCCCAAGAACACTCTACTGGCAACTTTAGCTGACGATACAGCCATATTTAGATCAGATAAAAATACTTTTGTCAGAAGATGAAATGTTAAATTGAATGACAAACAGAGTGTATATATGTAATAGTATTCACGCTTAATCCTAGACCTTGTCCACAATGTATTTCAATAACATTGAGATATGCATGATGAAATTAGATACTTGGGTTTTTACCTGGACAAGTGACTGATATGGATAACTCACATTAGACGAAAATATTAAAGAAAAAAAATATATAATGTATTATAATTTCTTTTTTAATGAGATAATACATTTTGGAATATAATTTGGTTATTTCATGGAAACAAGAATAATTTTTTCACATGTTAGTGTTACTTTTCAAATTCCCAGTGATCCTGTGATATGAGAGACTGTCAAATATACTCTACAGAAAATACATCCAGAGGGTATTCCTTTTATTATAAGGGACTTGTATGTCCAATTATCGAGATAATATTACCTCATTTATTCTTTTCAACTCAACAAAGCTCGCATTTGTTTTCTCTCAAGTCAAACCAAAAATACTGTAATTTCTCGCGCGCATTTATTTATTATTATTTTTTTTTTTAATTTTATCAAAGGATTTGTGTTTTTCTTACCTTTAATAAAAAAATAAGGAAATCTTTTATTGCAATTCTTTTACTATATACCACACCGATCGGGTAAATACAGAAATTGAGCCTTAACTACATTCTCAAACGTTTTTAAAAACACCTCATGAATTATATTTTACTCATACTGTTTGCCTAATTTAAAATATGTTTAAAGCAGACGGGTATCTAAAGTAAGATTTATTTATTTTTTTTACCTTATTTATTGAGAAATATTACATTCTATCTGAATTGAGGACAATTATCATAGATATCAGAGAGGATATTCAAAGCATATTTGCAGAAATACATAAACTAATTACAATATTATATATAAGACTAAGATAATTTTTTTAAAAAACTTTTATTATGATATTTACAACTGTATTAGTATGAATACATCAAGTAAATGTGTACAGAGGAATATAATCACATGAAACACGCTTGTTGAGAAACTACCCATTGGCAGCACTCTAGAAGATAAAAATAACATATAAAGATAAACAAATCAGAATAATAATAAATAACTAAAGCTCTATGATACGTCACAAACATTACTTTAAATAAAGACCTTCAAAAGTCTTACGGTCAAATGTCTTATACATACGGACACACAACAAAAGATTTCACGATAACTTATAAAGACAAACTAAATTTAACATATTCAGGAGGCTCAAAAGAAGCTGGATGAGAGATTTCCTCGTTTAAAAAGATGCTAAATTCAAGACAGGAAGGGATGCTGCTGGGCATTCTACAATATATATTTTTTTGTTCTCTTTATTCACATTACAAATATAACTATTCTTAAAAAGATTCTATTTTTATTTTTTAATATTTACAGATTATTTTTTAAATTACTGTATATATTAGAAGTTTTATTAAGTTAGTCCATTGCTTATGTTTTTAACATAAAAAATATTTGTTCTTTTCTCCAGGTTTTGATTTTTCTTTCTATATATGATATATATATATATATATATATATATATATATATATATATATATATATATATATATATATATATATATATATATATATATATATATATATTGTTAAAATTTTATTAATTTAGTCTTATACCAGATAGGTATTTTTTTATTTGTTATTTTGAGGAGACTTTGTCCCAGAATAAAGTTTCTTTTCTATTCTATACATAAAAGCCTTAGAATACTCTTAACTCGAAACTCATGAGAGACTCTACTGTTGTTACAATTTCTGTTATCTACTTTATAAAAGATAGCTACAATAACAGCTACTTCCCAATCATTTACTTTTTTTTTATTTTTTCCTCACCAGGTTCAAAATGTGCACCATAATCTCTTTACCGCTGGGTCTATAAACAAAGTCTATCTGGGTCTATCTTCGTAAAAAAATTTGTTCTTAGGCCAATGGTTATACAAGAAGGTGATTAGACCATGTTCATGCTCAACCACAAATTTCCCTAAATTTAGAATAAACATTTAATGAAAGGGTGTATAAAAAAAATCCGTCCACGAGTACTCGCGAACTTGCCGGGGAGTGTGTTGTGTCGAATAATTCATGGGGAAGGTGAAAAAGATAAACAGTAGACTGGTCTCTCATGACCACCATGACTCCTCGTCAATCATTTAGGAGGTTAGAAATTTGTTAAAATTTATTGAAAAACCCTTCTGATATAAGACTCCAACCTCATCCACCATATGGTCCAGACCTCCATTCCCTTGAGATCCATGGCCTTCTTCAAGGGAAAAAATTTAATATTTTTTCGAAAGTTGGAATTGCGGTCCAAGAAATCTATGACAGCCATCCCAAAGAATGGTATCAGAGTGGGATCGAGCAATTGGCTATCAGATGGCTAATGACGGTAGAAAACAATGGACTATACTTTGAGTATTAATTGTATTTTATATCAAAGAAATAATAAAACAAATATTTGGTTGAAAAACGGTCATTTTATTTATATTTTCTATTGGAAGGTAGGTGTACCTGATGAGGGTCGATACACGGTTAATATTCCAAAATAATAACTATATGCTTAAAACAATAAGATTCCAACCAAGGACAAGAGATAGGAATAAGGTTTTATACAATCCGATATTAACGATAATCGAGCAATCCTTCAATTGTCTTTAGAATATATGTAACATATATCTTATTCGAAACCCATAAGAGAGGAATGCATTGGCGGTCGTTACAGTACATGTTATCAGATATGCGATAACATTATTAACATTTTTTTATTCCAAATTTATCAGGTCCATCTCGGTTTATTAGAAATCCTTTATAAAAGATTGGAGCAATAACATATATTTCCCGATCTTTCGAGATTATTTCCATACTATTTTCTTTCTCTTCGTGGCTCATTTACTGCATTTAAGAGATTATTTCATTACCCACGGATTTACTCAAGAAAATATTAAATACGAATTTTCACAGCAATCAAAAATAATTTTTTTTTTTTTTTAGTTTATTGTTTCATTGGACACATTGTACAAGCTAAACATAATCGAATTACATTAGATCTTTGAAGTCGAAAAGTTTACCATAGATGTTACACTTAGAGAAATTTAGGAATCTCTAGTCTTCTGATGTTTTCTCAAATATATGAGCTATTTCTCCTGTTATCTCAATAAAATACAATTTGTAGCCATGAACAGAAGAAAATAGGTAGAGAGACTTGCAGTATTGTTTTATTCCTACTATCATTGTGTTTGTAATGTGTTATTTATTCAGAAGTATATAAAAGAATAGAGGAAGCTGTGCAGGAATGAGGAAGGTTATAGAGTATTAAAGGGAGAAAGAATAGAAAACGAATGAGCAAAATTATTATTCAGATTATTTTTTTATTCCAAATTTATCATCAGGTTCGTCATAGTTTAGAAATAGTATGTGAGAGGAGCAGCAACGGCTGGTGCGGCGACTGCTGGAGCAGCGAGTGCAGCTGGGGCGGCAACGGCGGGAGCGACTAGCTTGGCGGGAGCGGCTACTGGAGCGGCAGCGACTGCTGGAGCAGCTACAACTGGAGCAGCGACTGCTGGAGCGGCGTAGGAGTACCTTGCTGTAAGGACTGGAGCGGCGTAGTAAGGAGCAGCGATGGCGTTGAAGTTCCTCTGGAAGACCTGGGAGCTGCGGCTGGTGACGATGGGGGCGGTGTAAGCCAAGGGGGCGGCGACTGGAGCGGCGACCAGTGGAGCGGGCAGGAGGCCGCTGGGCTTGGCCGAAGAGGAAGCGATGCAAGCGGCGACGGCCAGGATCTAGAGGAGTACACCAGAGGATAACGAAGTAATCAATAATTCTGAAGGTAAATATCGATGTACAGACGATACCATAGTCAAAAATATTTAAATAGTATTGAATATTTAATAGTTGACCGTCGGATTTTAAAGGAAGGAGATGGTCCGGGGTAGCGGTCATAAATAGGCTAAATAGTGATAAAACTATTTTTATTAAAAGCCAACGTTTCGACCGACTTTGCAGGTCTTCTACAGGGAGATGTGTTCAGCTTGTAGTTTCACTTAGAACTTGCAAGACCTGCAAAGTCCGGTTGAAACGTTGGCTTTTAATAAAAATAGTTTTACCACTATTTACCCTATTTATGATCGCCACCCCGAACCATCTCTTTCCTTTATTTAAATAGTAGTTCGACTTATTTAAAATAAATATCATTACATATATTATATCAATAGATTTTGAAAATATTGCAATAGTTATCTGATGTAACGAAAATTAATATAGGCATTTCGATGTATTGACGTCGATATTTTTAATCTTTAAAAATTAGTGATGTAGATAAAAAATAAAATTTATGAGATATCAATAAAAAATACCTGTAATGTGGGTCCAAATGTTTTTAATCTTCGAAAGATATTTTCCTATAGATATATGGTTGACGTTGAAATGTAGTCTTAGAAATTTGAAATAAGGGTTTTTGCGAAATGAATTGCCTTAAGGAAACTCCATCAAATCATTAAAAGTACCTGTTCATGCGAAAAAGTTGTAGTTCCAAAATAACACGATAAAAATGAAGTAAAGAAGTTTCAACCCGCGATTTTTAATAGCTGTTCTATTCGGAAAAGAAATTTCCGAATTTGCGATAATTTTTTTTTAACCATTTAAAATACGAATTTGTATAAAGCCAGGTTTATTGCTCATCTTTAGAAAAAAATATTAAAACATCAGCTTCCTATTCATTTTGTGATATTGTGATCAGTTAGTCAGTGAGTGAAATATATTTTTTCTTTTATAAAGGGTGTACCATAAGTAGAGCGAAATATTGAAAAAATGGATAGTAGAAATCAAGATCTACAAAAAAGTACATATAAATAATTGCCAAATTTCAGCAGAAAAATAGGAAATTTATGATTTTTTTTTTAACCGAATCAGGTATTTTGTTGAATAGGAAGCGATAAGTTAAAAAAACATTTGATTTGAGTAATTAAACATTGCTCCATAGAAAACTAGACAACATTTAATTTAAACGAAAGTGAAGTTTGTCATTATTAAAACTATTTAAATAGGACTATTGATCGTATAAACACAGCTAAATTCTGTTAAAAAGAAGTCATAAATTATTTTTCATATTTTTCTTCAACTGTACTGCAAATACCCCACTTTTAGAAAAACTTTCTTTTTTAATAAGTTATTAGTCCAAATTAATCAGGTTGAGGTTCATGAGGAAAATTCACCTCAAGTTGTGTAAAGAAATGATGTGATTTTCTATCCAGTCACTAAAAAGTAACCGTTTTTTTCAGCAAAAATGTCTAAAAATAAATGTTCCAAAGCTTTTATATGTGTATATTAAGTTAAATTTTAATTTTAAAAATTTATAAAAATAAATTATGCAAGAAATGACTCTTCAACATGATACATTTAATCAGTGAACTACTAATAAATTACTAAGATGCTAACCACAGTGTAGTAGTTCATGTTGATGATGATGATGTTCTAGCTGGAGAAACTAGTAGACTGAAGAACAGAGGCCCTCCTGCCTCATATATACCTACCATTGGCCATGAGGTGCAGCGAATTTCACTGGCTGAGGACCAAGGAATTATTGAGCAACGGATCGACTTGAGGATGCCAAGGTGCAATAGATGATATCGTGGAGAAACATAACAAATCGAGAAAATAGTTACGATATTATATTCGGAATATCTGAAAATTTAGTCTTAATTATAATTATAATTATAATGAATATTTTTTTTTCATATCCCATATTTAAAATAAATATAACGACCACATACGAACATACTACAATAGATTTCACAATAACTTACACGGACTTACAAACTCATTGATTCGAGGCATGGCCACAACTAACATGCCCGATTGCACCCGAAGGAGGCTTAAAAGAATCTGGAAGAGGGATCTCCTCTACTAACTATAAATATTAAATTCAAGAAAGAAAACCACTGGGCACTCCTGTTCTTCATGCCTTTTCCAAAGTTACGGAATGGATTTAATCCGTAACAAATAATAATATTAATATAAATTTAACTTTTATTTTAATAATTGAGTTTGTTAAATATACCAATTGGAGAATCATGTATTCTCATAACTCAAAGGATAAAAAGACAAAGCTATCCCTAGATAGCCAGGCAAGCAATCTCTGAGAAATGGTTATCCAGAATGTACCAACTGGACACAAGACCCATTATCAAAACGTAGGGGACAATGACAGATTTTAGCAAAAGGTCTCTGTTTCACAGACTTCATATCAATTCTAAAAGATAAGAATACTAATTCTTAATAGTTAATAACTTCTCTCTCACGCTTCCTTTGCCTTCCTCTTCCGACTTCCTTTCAACCCCTTGTTATTTTTGGGTATATAACTCAGAACAAATCACTCTTGTAGTTGCATTATTGAAGTCACACTCTTGTAGGAGACCTGGAGTGAACTCTTGTAGTCAACCCATATATTCATAGTATTACTCTGTATTTTAAGATGCCATTTGTAACAGACATTATGAATAAAAATATTACTTATAAAGTCTTCACTGCCTCCGATTCATTAACTCAAGACCTATTAATCTTCTACATCTCGACATCATACTCGCTGACTGTCGGGACTTTTGACAGGAGGGAATTGAAAAATCAAGTTAAAAATAAATAAATATAATGATATGATTTGTTATGATTTTTATTTTTAATGCTTTCTACTGTAACTGTATTACATTTTAAGGCTTCTAATTAGAATTACAAAATGCTTTGTTAGCGGGAAATTAGTAAACCGAAATTAAAACAGGGTTAAGACAAGGAGACTGATTATCACATATTTTATTTCATATAATTTTGGAAAAAATATGAGATTTCTTTGAGAATCCAATAAATCGAGTGTAAGGATAGGAAGGAAAACGGAGTAAAAATCTGGTACTTGGCTTTCCCGAATGATTTAGCACTTATGTAGGAAAGTGAACAAGACGCAGTTAATAGAATAAATGAACTGAAGGAAATAGAAGAAAGAGCTGGGTTAAACATAATTTCGTCGTAATCTACAATGGAGGAGACATGTAAGCAACACAGAGTAGGAAAGTAAAATTGGATAAATTAAGGTTCTTAGAAATGGAAATAGAAATAGAAAATAACTTTATTCTGGGAAAAAGTTCTTTTAGAATAACAAAATAGTACGGAATTAAAATACTACATCTGGCCTAAATAGAACAATAACAAAAATAGAAAATATTAGCTAAACAAGCTATATGTAAAAAAAAAAAAAAAGATGATATACAAAACACTTAAAGCTATGAAAACACAATTAAAACAATGTACGGCACAGAAAAATTATAATTGTACACTTTTATGAAAAAAAAAATAAAAAATACATTGAGTTCTTTTTTAAAATAAGCTCTGTGTTTCTGCTAACAAAGGAAAGACGAAAATGTCAGAGTCTTTAAATAATGAATAATATCTAAACACATCATTATCTTATTGTAACTATAAATACAGATTTAATTGTGTTCAAATAAAAAAATAAACAAGAGATGTATTCAGTGGAATTAAGAGTAGGAAGATATTGTAATATTCCTAGTGAAGTTTACAGTAAGGAATAGTTATATCATTTGATGATAAATGTTAAAATAGAAATGCATAATATCAAATCTTAGCAAGTATCTGACTGTTTTTGGGATAGGAATTGTAATAGGAGGGTTTCGAATGTAGATATGGAGGTAGAATGCCGATTTTTGATAGGCAGAGAATGCCAGACATTGACAGCGCCTGGAAAATAAAGGAGTTTTGAAATGAGGTAGATCTGTGAGAAGAGATGTAAAAGTCAGAAGGTCGAGATCTTGTGGAAATGGACTGAGGACTTGATTAAGGAACACACCTAGGAAATATTATCTTCGAAAGAAGGGAAAGAGCAACCTAGTGGTTTGAGATATGGGAGTATCTCGGGACACCAATTACAAATCTTACGCAGCTATTCATTAGCCTTTCTTAGCGACGAGTTTGTATAATAAAAATAATTTTTCCAAGAAAGTCAAAATTAGACATTATGAAACAGTCATAAAATGTGTGGGATTTACCAATATAGAATCGTTACTGAGAACAGAAAGAGTGATTCTAAGAATAATATTACGTACGGGCCGAGAAAGGTGGGAAAGAATACCGAATAAAAAAGAACAATGAGCTTTATTAACAGATTGAAAGCTAGGAATTGTCGATGAGAAAAAGAAGAAAGAGGTTCTTCGGGTATATGAAGAAGAATGGATCTGAATCGGCTAAACAAACAAATATTCGATAAAGTTATGTGGTTGAAGAACATTAAAGGTTATCTGGAGCAAATAGAATAAGAAGTGAAAAAAATGAGTGTCAAAGAGGAAGATAGGGACTATAGATAAAGACTACCAAGATAGGGATAAAGATAAAGACTACCAAGATAAGGATATATTCCCGAAAATAGAGAAAAATATAAAGTAAATATTCTTGTAGCGAATAAGAAGCAAAAAAGTAAGAAATGGACATAGGAAAGAAGGAGGGAGATGGTAGTAACAATGAAAAGAATATCGGCTAAAAAGAAAAATAACTAGAAAAATCACGAAAAATAATAATAAATATATAAGTATATTATGAGCTAAAGATATATTAAAAATTAATGGATGAATCCGTTATAATAAATCGATTGATCGAGATGGGATCAATTGGTTTTTAAGTTCAAAATCCGAAAGCCTTTTAGATTGCACGGTTGGCATTAGATACTCGTTATGTTTTTTTAAGATTTAAAAATTAAAATATTGTTATTTAATATTTATTTTTGGAAAACTAGTAAAAGATAGTCGAAAAAAAAATAGTTCTGAGACCCTCGGATAATTTATTTTTTGATAATGTAAGGTAAGTAGATATAGAGTACAGGATGTCTGAGTTCTTAATGACAAAACTCTGTGAGGTGATTCTAAACAATACTTCTAGAAAAACGTTTAGTTAATGCATGGGCCGATCCCAAACGGAAAAAAAAATTAAGACCAATTTCGGTTCTTTTTTAAAGGAATTGCAAAAAAACTGTTCTACATAAATACATTTTAAGTACACCTTCGTAAGTGATTTAATTTACAAAGACCAATAATAAAACGGACTTTGAGGAGGTCAAATACGGCCGCTGTACTGTTTTAGTTACAGTCCACATACCCGAGTTGTTTATCTCTGTAATCCCGATTCGTCAAATAATTCGGCATAATAGTAGCCTTTGGGTAATAGATCTCCTGAAAGTCCCTTTTGTCATTGATCTTAGTAAATTTAGTCTCTGTTTTTTCAAAGAAAATTTTGTCTACTTTACGATGGTGTAGTTAGAATTTAATTATCTTGAACAGTTTTTAAACAATTTCTTCATATTTAATAAAAGAATATGACCACCTTAAGAAAAACAGAAAATTAGTCTTAACTCGTTTTTTGTTTGGAATCAGTCGAAGTATCAAATGAACTATTTTGTTGAAAATTTTGTTTAGAATATCTCTCTCCCCCCCCCCCCTGAGTTTGTCCATTAAAAACTGAGATACCCGGTATATTATAGTAGTATTTTATTGCATTTTTTCACATTTAATCCAATTAATACATTACTAACTTATTTATTATTACAAATACTTTACTCTAATATTGTCTAGTAAAATGCAACATGTGTGTGATAGATTTCTGTATTTCTACCGATTCTATAATGCATTGCAACTCTTATGATTTCTTGCGAGTTCTTCATTTCTTTGTCTGGTGACCTGTCTTAATTTAATATCAATTGATATTTTATTTATTTTTTACCTTAGGCCAATCAATATTAATTGTTTGTATATCGTTCTTTTATCAACAATAAAATACAACTATAATATTATACTGATGTAGAGATCGTTGACCGTTGATATAATATGAGAAGGAGTTAGTCGAGGGTGCGGTCAAATAAATAATTACGCCAGTGTTTCAACTGCCTCCCGCAGTGCCACATCCTACGCCCTGAAGACGATCTGCAAAGTGGGTCGAAACGTCGCCAAAAATTAAAGTAATTAATATATTTTAATTTTTTATTTATTTGACCGAACCCTCGCCTTACTCCTTCTCATATAATATAATACTATTATTGACCACAACCCCGACTATTTTTTTAAAGATAAGAATTACAGTGAATTATTTTCATCTTATATTATATATTTAATTTTTTTTTACTATTATTTTCAGTTCATATTTTTCAAAAGTGCTCTGTTAGACAACTTTCGAATCATTATGATTAGTTGTTATTAATTGAGTACGAATCATAGTGCAACCTTACATCCATTCTCATTCCATCACTCAATATCACATTAAGGAGTAAATACAAAAGCCATTTATTACAATATGTTAACAAAGCAATTGAATATGTTATATATATTTTTTTTATTGTTTGAGGTAGTGAGTTGAACTTTCAATTCTCCGATGCTTCAAATTTGACGCCGGTAGTGTAATACAATTTTCACTTAATAATGGATGGGTGCATATGAATGAATCCTAAAATGCTAGGATATGTTGCAACATGTAATTATATTTGAATATAAACTAAAACTTCTTGTCCTTAGCTTAACAATCTAGTCGACTTATGTTGTTGTCTTAATTGATTTTAGTTTATATATTTTGTTTATTCATGTAGATTAATAGTTATTGATTTTGATTTTATAATTGTTCTTCGAAATAATGGGCGATCGCTTTCTGAAGTCTGCGACTATGCCTATGCTCATTTATAATAATTATCTTAACCTTTGATATAATTAATAATTTTAAACTTGAAGTTATTATTACCTTTTTCCTATCCTTACTAAATCTTGTCAAATGTGTCATCCATAATTGTATTTAGGGACATCCTAATATTATTTGCATTGTTACCCTGACTATTTCAAGGGTTGGTCCTAATTCCTTTCATTATATATTTTTATTCTTCATTTTCTATATATTGTATTTTTATTTCATATTATCATTGAATGTATTATGTTATGGGTGAAAAAAGAGGCCTTATTGTAATTTATATATTATAGTTTTTCATGTCAGTTTGATAATTAATAGTCTGTTATTTGTTTTATATAAGACTTCCATTGTTTTTCTATTATTAAGATTTCTTTTTATTTATAATTTCTGGATTCTTTAAATCAAAATTGTGGTTTAGTTTTGTGCTGTGGTATTTTAGAGTTTACTAGGGCTGTGGTATTTTTATTTGTTTTGTGTTGAGTAATTCTGGTATTTATTTTTTTAATATATGTCTCCTACATATCTCTTATTACAATTTGCCTTATATATGACATTTTTTGTATCTTTTATTTTATTTTATTTTATCTTTCATGTTAGATAAATAGTTTCATATTATTATTATGGTATAATTTTATATTTCATAAATCATAAGTTTTAAAAGTTGCTTTTATTTCTTTTGTTCTGAGTAATTTACCAAAAATTATTTTTTAATCAAATTTGAGCCATATTAGCCTCAGAACCACTTTTTTTTTACGACTCTTGATTTTTGGAGTTCCACCATGAGTCTTCTAGCAGCCATAGGCGACAGATATGATCGTTGTTCCTCTTGACGATACCTAGACAGCAACAATAATCTGACGCAATCACAAATCATTTCCTAAGGACTAAGTATGTGGGTTGAGGTACGCTCGTTTTAAGCTTGAAAAGGCCATCTGGTCGGAAGGTTGTGCCATAACCATTAGGTAAACAAAAAAAAATAAAAAGAATAATAATTTTAAAAAAATCATAAAGAAAATCATATATACAATGGGTCATAGTTAAATTGATGCTTAATACACACGAAAATATAAAATATACTTCAATGGTTACAGAAAAGAAATAAAACCAGAAACTCTTCAATAGATTTATTTATAATTCCACTTTAAATATGTAAAAACTCAGAGTCAAAATGATACAACTCATTTCTTATTAACTTTTAAATAATATTAATTTATTTCAATGCCTTTATTTTTTATCATTCCTTTCAGTCTGTTTGTAATGGAGCCGACCATTTGGTGATTCTGGGCTTAGCCTGTTCCATTCTTCGAGAAGATATTTTTATTAATATTGAATATTTAATAGTTGAACGTTACATTATAAAGGAAGGAGATAAGCGAAGATAACTCTTCTTTAAGATGGAATGAATTATGAATGTCGTAAGGATTATTGTGACTAAGTTTTTGGGGAGAGGGTAAAATGAATTTGGCTTTCAATAGTTTTACCACTATTTAGCCTCTTTATGACCGCAACCCCGGACCATCTCCTTCCTTTATGTTTTTATTAAGTCTTAATTGTAAAAAAGTTCGTGTTTTATTATAATTTCTACCTCCAATTTTGCCTGCCAGGTGTTCTATCACATTAAGATCTGGTGACTGTAGAGGTGTTTTTATAATGTTGGCGTAGTTATGAAGTAGTCTTAACTTATATGGCCGAGTGTTTGGGATTGTTAACGCCGCATACGCTCATTTCTTTATTTTTTTTAATTATTATTTTTTCTCACCATTACCCATTTTTAGTGTGAATAATGGAATGAATATTTATTATTTTTTTGTAATAGGCCAGGGGATATTGTCCCTAAAATATATTAAAGTTTATATTATAGTTTATATCTGCCTTCGTTTGCGATGTATTATCGCTCATTTGTATACACACCAGCCCGGCAGTAATACCCAGTCTTAGGGATTAAGACACAAATAATGCCATAGTACTGTCGGGATGCAGTCTTAAGCCAGTCTGGAGCTACCTTTCGCATGGAGCAGAAGTCTACCCCCACCATTTTCACCAAGTTCCAGGCTCATTGTCACCTCACCTGCGCCATTTTGAAGGTCCCAGCTGTATCATCGCGAGTCATAGATCAGCACATCGATATGCATATCGATCCCCCCACCATCGACAGCTGAACTTCAGGTAACTAACCTCTTTGGAAATATAGCCTCCAATTTGGGATATTCTTCTCTCACCGTTACCACAGACATTTTTTTTCCCTTGGTTTACTATAATTTTGGAAGTTGGTTTTATTTATATTTGGCTATTAATGGTTAATTTGGTTTATTTTCTCTGCATATTATAATTATGTTTTATTTTATCGCAATTTTACACCAATATTTATTTAAGTCTTGTACATAATTAGATTTTTTTTATCTCAATAAATTGTGAGCATTCAAAAGGGGATTTTCATTTTTCCATTATTTGATTTATTGAATATTTCTATTTTTTAAAATATTTTCTTGTGCATGCATTTGTTTTTTTTTTCTCTAATGTTTTATAGGTCTCATTATTCACTAATTTTTTTTCTCCTTCTTTCCTAACATTTTTGATTTTGCTCGAATTTTCCCCACCGTTGAGGAAACGCACCGGGGAAAGAATTGTACTTCAATTTTGAAGTACCCCTGGCCCCAACAGGGATCATTAAACAAATTTTGTTTTTATCTCAAATTTTGTACAATTTCTTTCAAGTTTCTTCGTGATTGGGGGTTGAACAAGAGCATTATTGCCAATGAAAATCTGGAAGATAAATTAAATAAAGAGGATGTAAGGATAATTTGTACTTTTTATTTATGTATAAAACATTCCATCAATTTGGTAAAAGTTCCTGAATTATCTCACAGAGATCAGTTGAAGACATTTTAGAAGTAGTAAGGGAAGGGAGCAGCGAAAGCTGGCGCAGCATATGCAGCGGGTGCGGCCACCGCTGGTCCAACTAGCTTAGCGGGGGCGGCTAGAGGAGCAGCTACTGCTGGAGCGGCGACTGCCGGAGCCGCAAGTGGTGCAGCAAGTGGAGCAGCTACTGCTGGAGCGGCGACAGCTGGAGCCGAATAGGCGTATCTCGCTGCGAGAACTGGAGCGGCCACTGGGGCGGCGTAGTAAGGAGCGACGACGGCGTTGAAGTTCCTCTGGACGACCTGGGCGCTGCGGCTAGTGACGATGGGAGCACTGTAAGCCAAAGGAGCGGCGAACAGTGGAGCAGGCAGGAGGCCGCTGGGCTTGGCCGAAGAGGAAGCGATGCAAGCGGCGACGGCCAAGATCTAGAGGAGTACAAGGAGATGTTAGCGAACGAATGGCGGAGAAAGAAGAGATTTAACACCATATAATTGTAGAAATAGCTGCAACATGCAACAGAAGTCCGAAGTTCGAATTGTTGACTAGTTATTATGTTAGACTGTATATAATTTAGTATAACAAAAAAAAAAAAAATGAATAATAACTTAATTGAGAGAATCCGTAGAAAAAACGCTGCAAATTAAATGACAATGGTTTATAATTTCCTGGGTGATAAATATTCAGGACGCAGTCTTTTTTTAATTTTTTATTTATGCCAACGTTTCAACCCAAACATGTGGGTCATCTCCAGAGCTGATAATTTTTTAAAATATAATCAGAGATATAATAGTATACGACCGATAATGATAAATAATAAACTATATGTATAATATGTAAGTACACTCAATCACTATAGTTTATTATTTATCATTATCGGTCGTATACTATTATATCTCTGATTGTATTTTAAAAAATTGCCAGCCCAGAAGATGACCTACATGTTTGGGTTGAAACGTTGCCATAAATAAAAAAAGACTGCGTCCTGAATATTTATCACCCAGGAAATTATTAACCATTGCCGAATCATTTGCAGCGTTATAGAAATTTCATTGGAGTATCATCCTCGGGTTACCTCTAATTTTAAATCCAAATTTGAAAAAAAAATCGGTCCAGTAGTTTTTGTGAAAATGCGTGGACAGCGGACGGACAAAAATCTTTTACTCGTTTTTCGAATTCTACGTATCCTGAAACATAAAACCTCAAATTTTGATAGGAGGTCAAGTTTTTGAATTATCTGTTAGATTGCAATGGTCCAATTTCGAAAATAATAAACCAAAACAAATTTGTTCAGATTGGTATAATGATTTTATTTTTTCTAAATTCTCTAATATATTTTTAGATTTCCGATCAAATTGGTACAAGATAATGTACGAGGTATTGTACAAGAAGTGGCATCGTACAGTTATATTTATTTTATCAGATCTTAATATTTTAGTAAAATAAATTTCCATATTGGTCCATGGAAGAGAGAAAATACTACTTTTCAGTCAAACTTCTTCATTAAATCACCTTTAGAACCATTAAATAAATAAAAAATCAATATAATCAATAAGATTGGATTAAAACAAAATTACATAATATGTTTTGTTGAAAGACGTTTTGAACGTATAGACTATTACCATAAGGCCGTTATTACAAAAAATCTAGTATTTAAGTATTTTGGAAGAAGGAGAGAGGATTTGAAAAAGAAATTGGTACATATAAGGACAATTTTAAATGGTGGAGCGGTCTAACACGTATGCAAAATACGCTTTGCACGGCAACCTGAGGAGGGACTTAAAATTCTGGTATAACCTAAAAGGCGAGGAAGGTAAGAAAAAAAAAGATAGACAATTTCATCAAATCTCATCCACTACTTGCAGATACATAAACAGAGTTTGATACACCCAGATATCAGAGGGTGATAGTAATGAAAATATCAACAAGACGGGATTAATAATATGAAATATAAATTATAAGTAATAGCTCATTATAAAGGGGACAGAAAATTAAATGAGAAATACCAGTAGTGGGGACTAGTTATTAATGCAGAGAAAACGGAACACGTGGCATTCAATAATGAGGATATAGAACTGAATCCAGGAGGGGTTCTAAAAAGAATTAAACATTTTAAATGCCTTGGTTCCATAATTGAAATAGATGGTGCATGTGATGTGTAAATAAAAAGAAAATTTTGAGATGGCAAAAAAGCCATATTAATGGTCAACACGGTATTATGGAAATCATTCCCGAAAAATAATATCTACAACAGTATTGTACTGAGCATTATGACATTTGGGTCAGAAACTTGACCTTAAAAAGCAACCTCAGGAAGAAACTTTAAGCCACAGAAATGGACTATTGGAAACGAGCGGCGGGAATATCCAGAATGAAGAAACTGAGAAATGCCACCATCAGAGAAAAGATGGAGACTAAAAGAACCATTCTGGAAGAGATTGAGATACAACGCCTGAAGTGGTATGGGTATTTGAAAAAAATGTCTGAAGGCAGACTACCCAAAAAAGTCCACTTATATAAAATTAGGGAAAGAAGAAGACGAGGACGACGAAGGAAGACCTGAGATAACGAAGAGGAATCCATGATGGGAAGAATGGACCTTAGATAGGATATTATGGAAAGAAACCATCCAAGCACTTTAGTTTAAGGGAACCCAATATTAGTGCAAACTACTAATAAAAAATAAAAATAAATAAAGAGGATGAAACGCTGAACATATCTCTCATTTCAATTATGCAGGTCCGATTTTAAGTTTCTGAGACATTTTAATCCATATCTTTCGTAAAACTCATTATCATTGGATTTTCGACAGTAGTTTTCTCTTGTCACCCCTCTAAACCGGCGTCACGTTAAGATAAAATTTTGAACAATAGCGGTTGAATAGAGAGGTTAAAATGCTGAATAATCCTCCTCGCTTACAATATGCAGGTCGGAATTTTAGTTTCTGAGATATTTTAATCAATATGCAAAAACCCAATTAGCCCAGCCGACTTTACCCGAACGTTACACATCGAAAATCTGACGGCTCAGTCTAATTCACTTTCCACAAAAAGAGTGCAAATCGCGCCTCAAAAAGTTTTCACTTTAAATATATAAGTAAATTTTATCAATTAAGGGATATACATTGCACAAATATATACTGCTGTTATCTATTTGTGGTGAGAAAATATTCTTTATTTATTTTTTGTGAAACGGTCAAAAGACCTTACGGAATCTTTAACTGCGTGGGTGGTAATGGGAAATTTCGAGAATTATTTTTAAGGCCCAAGTCTCCAAAAAAATTGGCTCATTTATCTTGGAACAAAAGTAAAAAAAACTCATACAGCGGTAACTTAAACCCACATAGTTTTTTATTATTGGAAATAATCAAGCAAAAGATTTAAAATAGAGTAATATGAATTTTATTTAAATAGAAAAAATTAAGAAAGTTATATTCTCAATGGATTTTAAACCAAGAATAATGTAAAACGTAGAATCATAAGATTTAGTTTAAACTTTTGTTGAAAACCAAGATCACTTGAACTTTCGGTCTTCTTCAACTTGGGAACTTACCAGTACGTAGAATTGCATGTTGATGATGATGATGATGGCTCGGACAGAACAAGCTGACTGAAGAGCTGAGCCGCCGCATGACCAATATATAGCGGGGCAGAAGCGTGATGGTGGTACCAACTAAATCATCTTGTGCAACTCCTAGGTCCGGGCGGTGCCTACTGCCTCGTTGAGCGATTATTATATATTTAAATAATATTTAAAGAAGAAACTTCATGTTGTAATTACATGATACAAATAAATATTTATATATTAAAAAAATATGAGTTAATCAACTTAACCGCGTCACTGGTGCTAAATACAGTGGAAATTAAGCGAGACCACTTTAGCCACACATAGTGGAGAATTTGGCTATTGAAACAATTCCAATATTTAAAACTACAAAAGGACGCGGGGCAACTGTCCTTTTAACCCTCTTGAAGGATTATAGAGTAAGGTTCGGTAGAAATTTTAAAACATTTTCAGAGATAAGGAAAAAAGGAATTTTGTGGTCATGGTGTAGAGTTTTGTTGGTTATATAAAACGGAGCATATACTATAGTTCGAAGGACTTTGGACTGAAAGAATTGGATGCGTTTGATGTTAGAAAATTTCGCTGTCCCCCAAAGATCAAGTCCGTAGATCCAAATCAATCAATCAATGTTTTTTTGTTTTGAGGGAAAGAAGCCTATTCAAATCGAGTGTTTTTTTTTCTTTTTTCTCTTTAATTATTTATCCGCACCTGTCATGGTGTTGGCAATCAGCAGATGTGTTCTCTTGATGAGGATAGGCATTAAAGGTATGAGGAAGGATAGTATCCAGCAGCACCTCTTTCTAGTCATTATTTATTTTTTTGATTTAGGTGAGAAGATCTCTCATCCATCTCCTTTTTAATCTCCTCCTGAGGGGCATGTCAGTCGTGGCCATATATAAGTATGTTTGTGTGTCCGTGTAGTTTGAGATGAAAACGAGAGTAGAGAGTACGTCTATCACAAAATAACAAACATTATTATCCTTATGGAAATACAAATTCAATTTTATACTATATTACAGACATTAGTACACTCTTAGGCATAAGTTAAAAATCATATTCGGTAAAGGTCAGACAGTTAAAATAGTTACAATTATCAAATTAATATAAAATCTAAAATTGTCAACAATATCCATACATAAATACAGATAGAACAATGAATACACATTTTTAAAAAATATTAATATTAAACTATATTTTAAAATTAAATTAAAAGATTACCCCTATACCTAAGAGAAAAAAAACAAGGAAAATACTCGGCTGGATTACATGCCGATGTACAATATAGAATTTTTGCCATAATATGCGGAAGACGATATTCAAGATAATCCCACCTCTATTATTTGATATGATTGAGATAAAAATATATTAGAGAGTGCTACCACTGGGTAGTAACTCTTCAAGCCTGAACATGCCATTATTTATATTTGCGCATATTTACTAGATGTATTTGTATACAGTTGTAAATTCCATTAAATAATAAAAAAAAAAAAAAAAATATATATATATAATTTTCTCATATCATCTGCACTTGTTGGCTTAAATTTCTATCCCATCAAGATTTTCACTACCCTGGTAAATTCTTAACCTTAAACTACTATAAGTGCTCTCGACCAATCTCCGCTGGCTTTAGTACCAGTGACGCGGTTGGAAGAGTAGCGCAGGGTTCTCCTGGAGTTCCCTCGCCTGATTGTATATAGGTATGCATGTTATTTTATTTTATTTTTTTTTCCTTAGTTTTAATTTTCTTATTTTTTTTTAGGTTATTTTATTTTATTGTCTATTGTATATACTTTTGATTATTATTTTGTTCTATTTATTTTATTTTTTTTGTACATATGGTGTGAATGTCATCCTGCCTCACTATAACCAGTGTCCAACAGACAGATTGTTATAATACTCAATAAAGAAATTTAAAAAAAACAAAAAAAAAAAACTACTATAAATCGGACATTTAAATAATATACGATGAAGTGTTTCCTTTTCTTTAGTGTTGCACATTTTGCACTCAAGTTGAGAAGTAATTTTCACAATTTTATTTTTAACAGAAATCTTGATCATATATTTTCCCGAGAGTCGGATCTGCATTAATAGTTTCGTATGTTTTAAATTATTCGGTATCAACAAATACTTGGGGATCTGATCATTATTAAGAAAAATATTTAAATGTTCACTATAATATAAGATATACTATGCAATGATATCCTGTCTCTGTCCTGCAAATGTTGTTTGTATTTATTTAATATCCTGTTAATATTTGTTCTAATTATCCAAGGTCCAAATAGGTTTCAATATTGTTTTTTAGGTCAGTAATTTGTTGTCAATTGAAAGTTGAGATTTTGTAGTCACTAGTCAGTTTAGTTCGCCGTATTGTCCGTTAAGTTCTTGTCTTTTAAGAATTGTTTGGGGGGTTCCACGTTAGTCTTGAATGAAAGTAAATTTATAAAAAATGGAGTTTAATTTTTTCTTTCGAAAATTCACAGTACATATTGTTACGGTCTTTAATTTGGGAAAATTGTTTACGCAACAAACTTGCCGGATGCTCAGTGGAGACGGCAGGGTTCGTAAAAAAAATATAAAAAAATAATAAAGGGTCAATTAATTATTACTATCTAACGAGCGCCACGCTATTTAATTGGTTGAATTTGGAAAATAGCGAAAACCATAAAAAAATATGATAAAAAACAAATAAATAAATGTAATTAAAAAAAAAAAAGATTAGGAAGCGGAGTGAGCTACGAACTCGGAACCTTTGGGTTTAAAAACATATGTTAATTAACTATCGAATATTCTTTCATAACCTATCGAATCTTCTTACTTGCTTAATAATGACTTTCCCTAATCCCTCGAACAGGGTTTTACAGTTCCTTATTAAACATAAAAAAAACAATATTATATATACATAAAACGTGAAAGCAAACCGAAGAAATTAAAACTGGCTATTATTAATACTAAAGATGAATTTACTTATTTCTATTAATTTATATAACTGTTAAAGGAAATGAAAATTATGGACAAGAAATTAGATTTATAAGAAAAAAAAGAAAATATAATTAACTTTAATTATCAAAGAAAAGGACTGATTATTATAGGACTAAACATTAACTTACAACTATACAATATACCAATTACAAACATTTTGAAATAAAAATAGACAGGGAAAAACGTATATGTACATATTTACAATATCCCACAGGTTGAACTCGGTCCAATTGGCACATTGGATTATCTGAAGAAACAAGAACTTATTCGAACTAGCGTCGTCAGTGTCTCCCCAGTCCACCTCTTTAAGCTGTGAAAATGTTCATTCACCAACTTGTAAGATCAAACGGCACTCGTCGCTGATAATCACAGGTCCATGAATAGTAAAGAAAACCCGGTGTACACCGTAAAACTAAAGTATTTCACATACAGAAATCCTTAGCGTGGCTCAACACTCGCGAGGTTCCGCCATCTCTATCTCGACTGTCTTTTGTTTTTCATCCCAATCAGCTGTTTTCTGTTACACTGACTTAAAAATAATATCTACAATTAATACTTAAAACTAGACTTTCCCATCAAATAACCTTCACTCTTCGTCGTAAACCTATGACTTCCTGTCCTACAGTATCCTTCAATAATAGCCCTCTTATCCCTGTCGAACAAATCCGATACTTAGGACTCCACCTGGACAAACGACTCACTTGGAACCCCCATACCAGACTGAAACGACTAGAAACCGCCCGACGTTTTCGACTACTTCAACACTTACTAGACAAACGCTCTAACCTTCCAATCAATTATAAAAGACTGATTTACATTACTATAATAAGGCCTATTTGGACTTACGGGGTTGAGCTATGGGGCTCCACCAAGCCTTCAAATTCCTCTCGCATACAGTCCTTGCAATCCAAAATCCTTCGTAAAATCCTCAACGCTCCTTACTTTGTCACAAATAAAATCATCCATAAAGACCTTAATGTTCCATATGTTTCCGATTTGGCCCAATCCAGATACCTGTCCTTCCATAACAAACTGCAGAACCATTCGAATCCTCTCGTTTCAAACCTTGCTTCCTCCTCAATCCCTGATAACTCTTCGAGGCGTCTGAAAAGAAGATGGCCTCGGGATCTTCTAATATAGAACTTTAATTTGAGTTCTACCAATGGGTAGTTTCTCTTCATGTTGTACATGTCATGTTATCAATTTCACATTTACTTATTGTATTTTATATGTAATACAGTTGTAAATTCCATTTAAAAAAAAAAAAAACTAGACTTATTATAAACAATTGCTTATTATTAAAACTAATACTAAATGCTTGATTAACTAATACTTAATTATATATTTAACCCTCTTCGAGTTAATAAAAAAACATATTATAATTATAAAAACTAAAAATTATTTTATTTTTCGTTACAATATTACCTCGTGAAAGTAAGTCCCCTGTAATTTATCCTCACGTAAATATTTTGAAGATACAACTTGCGCCATGCGACCCCTTACCAGTTTCTATGGTAACAATTGAACAATTAAACATTATTAAGTATACCTTCCCAAACAATTGTTGTCAATTCAGTCTAATAATGATTGAAATTAGTTTCCGACCGATCGAACTAAACCTGGTTAATATAAAGCTGGACTATAGAGGGTTAGCTAAGGCGACAAGTACAAACGGTCTGTAAATTTGAACTGTCCGGCGGGCATCGACTGCTCGACCGTAATTAAAGCTAAACCTACTCATCTAAACCAAATCCTTGACAGGGCTGTTTGATGTCTCTCTTCCGAAATTGTCAGCCTTGTTTGTCTTGATCTGGCTTTGTTGAGGGCAGCGCTACCAGGTCATTACTGACAATGAATTATTAACCATCTCCATCATAATAAATAGTAGGAATTAACGGTAAATATTAAAAAAAAATTATATATTTTGTAAATTACAATATAAGAAAAAACGCTTCAAATTATTTTACAATGGTTTATTAATTCAAAACAATTATACATCAAAAATAACATTACCTTCCTAGCGACAAATAAAAATAATAAAAGGTGATTCTATTGGACTAAATTTTTTTTTAATCATTAGTAATATGCTAAAAAAAAATTAGTATTACT